TTGAAAATAAAACCATCTCCTTTGTAGGCTGCATAGCCCAGCTGTTTGGGGTACATTTCTTTGGTTGCACAGAGATCTTCATCCTCACGGTGATGGCCTACGATCGCTACCTTGCCATCTGCAGACCTCTCCATTACACCTCCCTCATGACCAGGCAGGTGTGTGGCCGGATGGTGATCGGCTCATGGGTAGGAGGCTTCATGCACTCCGTAGTGCAGACTCTTCTAATCATCCAGCTCCCCTTCTGTGGCCCTAACAAAATAGACCACTACTTTTGTGATGTCCACCCATTACTACAGCTGGCCTGTACGGACACCTATGCTACGGGCATCGCTATTGTGGCCAACAGTGGAATGATAAGTCTGAGCAGTTTCTTCATCCTGGTTATGTCCTATGTTGTCATCCTGGTTTCCTTGAAAAGGATAGGGTGGCACAAGGCCCTCTCCACCTGTGGGTCCCACATCACTGTGGTGATTCTGTTCTTCGGGCCATGCACATTCATCTACATACGTCCATCCAGCAATCTGTTGGAGGACAAGAGCATAGCAGTGTTTTACACTGTCATTGCCCCCATGCTGAACCCGCTCATCTACACGCTAAGAAATGAGGAGGTGAAGACTGCCATGAGAAAACTGTGGAGTAGAAAAGTGGGAAGTGAAAATGGGAAGGTATAGAACTGCAGTAACATTCCCAAAGGAAATATCTGTCATGGAAATTCCCCAGGAACTGCCTTTCGAGGAAAATCTTGCTGTTAGCTCCTGTTGTAGTTAGGAATCATAGACTATAATGCCAGGTTGGAAGATAGTGGAAGTCAAACTTTTGATCTGAAGGACATTGTGAATTCTGTGCTGAGCAGGCATTCCATTTCTACTCTCTTGTCAGCTGGGGCAGGGGCAGACCCGGTGCTCCTGAGCACTAACCAAAACACCAGTGTTTAAATAATTACCATCAAAACCACTGAGAATGGTATCCAGGTAGAGCATCCCATTACTCAGGGATAAACTTCAGAATGGACTTCATCTGCTGCGTAATCCATTCAGCTGGGAAGGAGAGGATCATGGCCAACTGATGCTGGAAACCGAGTCCCCTTTCTGCTTCAAGTAATGCCTTTTTATGAGAACTACATTGTGGTATCTTGAAATCATACATCAGCAAGTAAAAACCTGGTATTAGGTGCTAGCTGGGTCATCTGCTCATGCAGGCAACAGGAGAGGAAGCTTCTCCCCTTCCCCTGCCAGTGCAACAAATGCTTTCTGCAGTGTTCAAGGCCAGGTTGGACAGGGCTTTGAGCAACCTGGTCTAGTTGGAGATGTCCCTGCCCGTGGCAGAGGTGATTGGAATAGAAGATCTTCAAAGGGTCCTTCCAACACAAACTGCTCTATGATTCTATCTACTCCACCTATCACTGATGTCATCCTTCCAACCACCCTCTCTACCCTTCAGCTCTGACTCGGGTGTTTTAATGTTGATCTTAAGGTCCTTTCCAACCCTCACCATGCTATGATTCTAATACAGAATCATTGATTCAATGAAGGACATCTTGCTGACTGTAAGAAATGAAGGACCAAACATGGCATTTGGAGACACAATTCCATGTATCCATGGAAAAAGAAAAAGAATTATTTAAGAACTATTCCAGTATACAACTCCAAGACAACAAAGCACGTTTACACATCCGCACAAGGGAAGAAGTGTGTTTGCCATGGGAAAGAGCTGGTATACTCCTACTGCAGGAGGGAAGAGAAGAATCGTCAGGATGAAAGACCAAACCAGGCAAAGCTGCCACAGGGTGATAAGCTGTAGCAGCTCAGGATCTCCACATGAGGATCCACAATGAGACAAGAGACCCTAGCCCCTACCTTACCATCAGAAAACCACCAAATCAGCTGAGTGAGGAAGAGAAAGACTTGCTTCATGCCATTCGAAAGTAACTGAAGCACTTTGATTCCTTCACTTTCATTCCCTATCAACATCATGTGTTACACATTAACATGACTTAAGTAGGATTCAGCGTCACAAGGTGTTCTGAAGCCCAAGTTAGGGCTTACAACTTTTTTTATGTATCAATAAAATTGTATATGTATGTGTATATATATAGTAGATTATTGTGTTAATGCTTTGGAGATGAACACCAGTGTTTTTTTTTTTTATTCAAAATTATATATATACATATATATTAAAAATAGATTATTTTTTAATGCTTTAGAAATGAACACAAGTTGTTTTCTTCTGGAGTTCTCATTTCTGGATACTGCTGGGCAAATATTTGTCTGTAGCTTACGGAAGGTGTCACTGAAAACAACATTAAGCTACTCTACACTTCAGTAAGAATTCTTATAAGAACTTATTACTCAGGCTAAAGAGTTGCTTCTGTGTTTTGCATTGTATCAGTAAAAACACCTGCAGTGAAGACTAGCCACAAACCTTTCTAAATGTTTGAAGTAATTTCCTGTTGTACTTCTTGTTTCAAATTTGTACAGCAGCAGCCTAAGAAATGAAGTCTGTAGCACAATTGTGATATTCTTTTGTGATGGCAACATGCAATGGTAAGAAGTTAAGAAGAAATGAGAATGTGTATGAGATATGTTAGCTTAGGACAGAAAGCAGAATTTACGTAAATGGCCTGTGTAAGGGACATTTTTATGCCAAGAATATTTGTTTGCAAAGGTAAGGTGAATATAAATCATAGAATCATAGAATAGTTAGGGTTAGAAAGACCTTAAGATGATCCAGTTCCAACCCCCTGCTATGGGCAGGGACACCTCACACTAAACCATGTCACCCAAGGCTCTGTCCAACCTGGCCTTGAACACTGCCAGGGATGGGGCAGCCACAGCTTCTCTGGGCACCCTGTGCCAGCATCTCACTGCTCTCACAGTAAAGAACTTCTTCCTTATATCTAACCTGAACTTCCCCTGTTTCAGTGTGAACCCATCATCCGTTGTCTTATTGCTACAGTCCCTGATGAAGAGTCCCTCCCCAGCATCCTTGTAGTCCACTTCAGATACTGGAAGCTGCTCTGAGGTCTCCACACAGCTTCTCTTCTCCAGGCTGAACAGCCCCAACTTTCTCAGCCTGTCTTCGTATGGCAGTGGACAATAAAGCTTGCAAATGGTGAGATGTGCTGGTTATTTGAACCAGAAATGCTTCCAGAGCAAATACATATCCACTAGTAAATAAAGCTTATTTATCTGGACAGCATTGAAAAGCCATTCAGCAAACAAAGAAGCAAGCAAGCAAACCCATGTGCAGTTAAGAGTTGAGGTGACCACACTCCAACACCACTCTCAAGAGATGACCCTAATAGATATTCTAAAGAACAAGTCTTAGCTCCTTGTCCACTGACAATTTCTGACAAAGCTTCGTATGCCTCTGGGATCTCATTACTCTTGATAGTCTTGTGCCTCTGCTGTGTGATTTACTTTAAATATATCTGCTACCATTTCCTCACCTGGTGAGAGACAATTGTTTGTGTAGGTGCTCTTGGATGTTGTGGGGTTTTTTTGCAGAATGAGGAATGCAGATAGCCAAGCTGCTCTTTCAGCCGTTCTAGGTTTCAGAACCAGCAGCCACAACTTGCAGCTGAGACGTGCTGATGAAACCACCTAAAAGTGGTCAGAGGAGGTCATCAGAGGAGCAATGCTCAGAGGCTGGCAAATATGAACTGTGTAAGTATCGTTCCTTTGTTCTGTTCAAGAGTGACTGAAATCCTGCCTATGAAAATAGTGAATTTTGTGTGGTCCATTTTATGAATTAGAAAACACTCCATTATATATTTTCCAGCTTTTGTTTTAGTTGATGTTTTATTTGCTTTTTCCCCCACTTATATGTTCTTTCCAACAAAATCTGTGAAAAGGGTGTTGTCAGTGTTACAGAGAGGGCTCAGCAGCTGATGGACACTTCCCATGTGCTCAGTCTTACTTTGCCTGAGTTGGACATGTCACATATAGCCGTGACATGCACACTTTGGCCTTCTCCACAGTGCTTTTCCGTGGAGAGGCATGGAAATAGGGATGGAGACACTGAAGAGCCTTCCCTTTGCTTCCCTAGTTGGGCAATAGCTGGGAGGTGAGGCAGAGAGCTCAGGAGAAAGAGCTGAGCATTATGTGGTTGTCAAATAGAATTCAGACCCAAAAGGGCTTGATGATATCACAGTCAAGGTTATTACATATTTACCTCCTCTATCTTCATATGTACATTGAACTAATGATACTTGTGTCCATGGGAATGCCACAGAGGTGGATTCATGGGTGTTTTCGAGTAAAGCAAGGTCACCAGCAATACATTCATTACCCTGGTATCACTATAGGTGTATTTATGAGATATTCCACACCAAGTCCTGGGCTTGGGTGAGGTATAGGAGCCCCTGCTAATGTGCCATTAAGGTAAATTAGCTCCAATTAGTCAATTTATGTGCTGTAAGAAAGGTGGTTTAAGAAAACACTGGCCAGCTCTTTCTGTGGCTGAACTTATCCGGGTCTGTCGCAGAGGGATAGTAAGGAGTAGTTCTGTTGCAATCCTTTAGAGGACTGAAAAGGAAAGTACAATCACTGTGCAAGGACCTTCATCAGGCCATGATCAAAGTGTTGAGCCTGGAATTAGAGCCACACTGTCTCTTTCAGTCAACTTTTATTCCTAAATCAACATTATAGGTTTAAAGTGAGTCTTCAGAGGACTTTGTAATTAGTCTTCTGTTTTAAAAGAGGCAAAGGTGAGAACTTGAGGGTGTTATTTCTACCACTCTTCTCAAATAGATAACCTGAGCTTGTTATATATTATTATGTTGTGTTATATATATTATTATTATATATGTCAATAATACATTCTGTTTTGGATATCAACTGTTATTCCTTGAGAAAAGCATTGTCTTTAAACGGAAACTGTCCCCGAAAGACAGCAAAGGAGAAACATTAAACATATTTAACATAGCAGTGGTCACTGTGTATGTGTGATAATGTCCCATGTCTAATGCCATAGCTGGTCTTTTCTGTGCTTCAGGTCCTGTCTACGTGGTACCTATGGAGAAAGAAAACAACGTGACAGAGTTCATCCTCCATGGGCTGACACAAGATAAGAGAGTTGCAAAAGTTTGCTTCTTGTTATTCTTAACCTTCTATGTCACTATCATTCTTGGAAACCTGCTTATCATTATTACTATAAAAACGAGTGAACAGCTGAGCTCTCCCATGTACATCTTCCTGAGCCACTTGTCTTTTGTGGACATCAGTTACTCTACTGTCATAGCTCCCAAACTCATTTATGACCTTCTTCTTGAGAAGAAGACCATCTCTTTCGTGGGCTGCACAGCTCAACTGTTTGGGGGCCATTTCTTCAGGTGCACTGAGATCTTCCTTCTCACAGTGATGGCCTATGACCGTTGCACTGCTATATGCAAGCCGCTTCATTACACAAATATTGTGACCAAACGCGTCTGCATCTGGTTGGTGGCAGCTTCTTGGGTGGGAGGCTTTGTACACTCCATGGTGCAGACCCTGCTGGTCATTCAGCTGCCTTTTTGTGGGCCCAGTGAGATAGACCACTATTTCTGTGATGTTCACCCTTTACTGAAGCTGGCTTGCACTGACACCTATATCATTGGTGTCAGCGTGATTGCCAATAGTGGTGTGATTTCCCTGGGCTGTTTCATTGTTCTTATTGTGTCCTACACTGTTGTCTTGGTTTCTTTGAGGGTGTGCTTTTTTGAAGGGCATCTTAAAGCTGTCCGTACGTGTACTTTCCAGATCACTGTTGTAGTTCTGCTCTTTGGACCAGGCATTTTCATCTATATGCGCCCTTCCACCACCTTCTCAGCAGACAAGACAGTCTCTGTGTTCTACACCGTCATCACACCTATGCTCAACCCCTTGATCTACACCCTCCAAAACAAAGAAGTGAAAAATGCCATGAAAAAGTTGTGGAGCCGGAAAGTGAAGAGGAGTGAGAAGTGAAACAACACAGTGTATGTTTGTAAGATGGTGTGAGCTTAAGTAATCATGGGGAGGGTTCAGAGAAGTGCCCAGGAGAGACTTTCCAGTAATGCTGCTGTGGTTTTAGTGCAGCTATTCAGAATAATGCTGACACTAAACTCAAGGGTTTATGTAACTCATGTGCTTCGGAAACTGTTAACCAAAAGGATGTGAGCTTATCATCAGCTCTCAGACATGAACTTGGTGGGTGTTATTGTGGCATTTACCTTGAGGCACCTCAGAGCTGTATCTGGGGTATTTGCTTAGGCTTCTCTTGGCATTAGGAGAAACAACCAAGTGTTTGAGAGGTTGTTCTTTCCTCCAAGCTCCTAAAAGCTCTGGAGAGTAGCATCTTCTTCCATTTCTGCACAAAGGAGTGATGGTGGTACCAAGTTCTAAGAGTAAACAAACCTTTCAGTAGGGCACAACATCAACAACTTTTATCTAACACACTTTGAGGTGTCTACAACTGAGTAAGCTGATGAAAGTCAGCAGCCTTTAGGACTCATTTCATGGTAAAATGAACCTTGAGAGAAGGAGGAGGTTATATTTGTTCTCTGCACAACAGGGAGAGATGAAAGATTGTACTGAAACACCAGCAAATAAATAAACTCCAATATGTAACTATTGAAAGGGTTTTCCATACAGAGCATCTTATTAGCAGGAGTGTGAACTTTCAGTCGGGCAACCTGAAGCTACTCTGAAGTCTCTTCAGATGAGAAATGGAAACTTCTCTCCTTCCTCTGCCAGTGCAATTCCCAGTAATAATAACTACTATTATTGTAGCTCAATGTCAGTACTGTGATTCCAAAGCTCACCAGGTTAATAGCTAAAATTTCTACAGTAAGTCTGAATGTTTCTATCTTTACATATTTAGTACTTTTCTGGTGAATGTGCTATCTACTTCAGCTTTGTTCTCATCCTGCCCCTGGTCCCTCAGTCTCAGCTAGCCAGTGACAATAAATGTAAATGCATCTTAAGCACAGGTCAAAAAAAATCCTATAAACCTGAAATTATGGCTATTCTTGCTTGGATCTACTTCATTTAAAGGAGTCCTGTTGTCTAACACTTTTCTGAGACCTTTATATCATAGGTGACCTTTATAATCTATGAGAACAGCAACCCAGGCATGGTTAAAGACCACAGAACCAGAATGATCCCATATCCAGTGGAATTATCTGCAGGTTTTCATGGCGTTATTCAGACACTGGATGAAATGCCATGTTTTGGCCAGTAGCTGCTCTGGAGCTATTACATTGGTATTATCTGAGGGATTTATATCCCAGTGGAAATACAAGAACTAAATATTTCTCTATACGGAAATACAAGCAAGTTCCTAGTTGAACATGGAAAACATTCCTTAACTTCTTAATAAGAATGCTTTTGTCTGGTTGACTTTTCCTCAGCCATTTTCAGTCCTGATACAGAAACATAGAACTGATCTTGGAATCCCATGACTCTGGGCAATGCTGTTCTGCAAATGGACTGACAGTGGTTATTGACTGTTTCCTTATTTTGGGAAGGGGAACAGAGGAACAGGATGTCCTTAAAATAGTGCACAACTCACCCATTTGCTCCAAGGTGATTGGTGATGCATGGAGGTGAAATACAGCAACAAGCCCTAGCTGCTTTATGATGGTAGTAAAATTAGAAGTAAAACATCGGTACTTGGACTTAGAATTTTTATAATGTCTCCATATTTTCAGGCAAAATAGGAAGAGAAAGAGGTAGAAACGATTGACAGAAGAGGAAGGGTTTTTATTCCCTATTGTTAGGACATGAAACCAGACACATAGTCACCAAGATTTCCCTTTTAGATCTCCAGGTTCCTCCTCACTAGGAGAGGATACTCCTTTCATCTCCTGGATGGGGTCTTCATCAAACTGCTCCAGTGGAAGGTGTCCCTGCCTGTGGCAAGGGATTGGAACTGGATGAGCTTTGAGGTCCCTTCCAATCTAAAAACATTCTATGATTCCATGTAGGAGAAATGGCCACAAAATTCAGTAATCACATTTCTTTTCTTGGATTGCAAGCTTTCAGAAACTCATTTCCAGTCTTAAAAGTTTATACCGGTGTTTGTTTTACCCTGGCTAACTGCTGGACACCCATCCAACTACTCTCTTACTCATCTTCCTCAACAGGAAAGGAGTAGAAAATGAGATTAAAAAGCTTGTGGATCGAGATAAAGACGAGGGGATCTCTTACCAGTGAACATTTATGTTTTTATTATTAGACACTTCAGGATTTTATCATACAAATGGCTTCTGAGTGCTTAGAAGCACACATTGTTTCATCCTCGATCATCCTTCAAGACTCCGCATGCAGAAGGTCATTGGGCAAATTGATGTGCTCCTGCACACCAAGGGACCCAGCCACAAAAACTGCTTAATAAGGCCCTCAGGTACCTACTTGGAGTTTGGTAATGACACACTTGTCACTCTCTTTTGCCTGTGTTTAGTACTTAGCATGTTACAGGGGTATTTATATGTTGTGCTCGGATGGGATGACTTCAGGGAGAAGGAAGATGCGGGAAACATAAAAGTCAGCTCAGAAAGCCTTGGAGATGTTGCCTCATTGGATCTTTCTGTCTAAGTGATAAACAGAAAATGGGACATTGATACCATCACAGTAAAATTTGCCTGTAAGCTGTCAGGAAAAGAAAAAAATGCTTGGAAACTTTCTGATACAAAGAAACTTAAAAGCAAGGATATGGCAATGACAAGCAAGAGGAAGAAGAGTGGGACAATGCCCTGACCTCTTGGATGGACAACTTGAAGCAGATTTGGAGGGAATGATTAAAAATGTTTTCAGACAACAAATGTGGAGTTGAGACTTGAAATTTCATGTTGTAGCAGCGATTAGTAACTGGGTACAGTAGTAACCATTTTTTCTTCTCCTTTGCCTATGTTCTTCATATCAGCCATGGCATAGGAAAGCCCAGGTGTGTGGTTATGTTTATATGAAAGGCAGAGAGAAAAGCTTGGTAATTTGTTCAAAAATATACATAAAAAATGTAAATACTATTGTGATGGTTTTGGTCATTTGTATCCTTCAAAGCAGCTTCATTTAATGTTGATTACAGTGTAGGCATTTAGCATGGGGCAGGTATCTGCTCTCCAAGCAAGGACATCTCAAGGACAGATGGACTGTCTTCTATGGAGTAAGTCATCTCACTGTGGTATAATGATTTAAACAAGGTAAGCCAAGAGCCTTTAAGGTGTTTATTCTTCTTCATTAACTATACAGGGAGTTAGAGCTGTTACACTCAGATGGTGATGCCTATTCTGCAGGTCTCTAGCACAACATCAGGGATCTCTAGAGACAGCTCACCCTCTGTGCAGCTCTGGAAGACTGCTGAGCCCTTGGGAGTGCAGAGAGGAAAAAGTGAGATAATTCCTGAACCAGTGTTGTGATTTGCAGATGTATATTCCCAATTCTGCATGAAGCAAGCCTGTTTGATGGACAAGAAAAACAGTCGTTGAGAACTACCAGGAAGTGGTAGAGAATAGAGCAGGACCTGAGGAAAAGTGCTCAGGTATTAGCAATGGCAAGAGGCATATATGACAAGCAGACACTCCTTTCTTAGTAGTAATCTGCTTGCTGAGTTATAAATGTTGAGGCAGAAATGAGCAGGTAAAGGATTTCCTGGTATAATTGTAAATGAAAATGAGCACTGATATGCTGGTCACATCTCAGCGTCCACAAGACAGTGAGTTTATCTCTCCACTTAAGAGCTATATGAATTACTCAGAGAGACAAAGATGTAGAGAAACTGTGCAGAGTTTCGCAGCTTCTGCTCTGTTAGAAAGCACCATTTCTTCGGGAAAGGATTTTCTGTTAACAGCAGGCTTAAGAGATCACTCAAGATACTAAATGGCTGCTAGTTCAATAGAGAGGAATTGGTGAAGAACCTGTTTTCTGTGCTTGTATTTCTAGTTTCAGAGTAGACTGGAGGGCCCTTTCATCAGCTTAGAGGAATGCAATTAGGAATAGAACATGGAACAGCTTATGGTGGAGCTGTACACCATAGACACAATACTTGACTGTGACAAACATTTGCTTCCATCACGACACTCTCAGCAGGTAAAAGGACAGTGTGCCATTCCTCCAGTTCTGGTGGCTCTTATCCTGTGACAGTAGGATGTGATTTCTCCCTGACAGAATGGAAGCATGCACTTTATCACACCAAATAGTGGTCAGAAAGATAGTGGCCAGAGTGAAGGTCAGTGTGGAGGGGCCAGAAACCTGGAAAGAGAGTGGGAAGGCAGCAGATGGATGGTGCTCTTTGCAAACACTGCTCACCATAACTTATGATGCAACACTGTGCTTTCTGTGGCAGGCAGAGCAGCGGTAAATGCATCCTGATCTCATCACTCATGAGCCTTGGAGCCATAGCACATCCCCTTCTCTTCCTTGCAGCCCATGAGTCCATCCCCAGACCTGTGCTATGGGAGCCTGAGCTGAAGTAATGGTGCTGGGAAACTTCTCCCAAGTGCCTGAATTCATCCTCCTGGGCCTTTCTGATACAAGGGAGCTGCAAGTCCTCTTCTTCATTTTCTTCCTCCTGGCCTATGCCATGGTTCTGCTGGGGAACCTTCTCATCATTGTGACCGTCAGGACTGACCCCAAGCTGTTGTCACCCATGTACTTCCTCCTCTGCAATTTGTCCATCTTAGATATCTGCTGCACCTCCGCCACCTCTCCCAGGCTGCTGGTGGACCTGCTGTCCCAGAGGAAGGCCATTGACTTTGAAGACTGCATGGCCCAGCTCTTTTTCCTGCACTTTGTAGGGGCATCAGAGATGTTCCTCCTGACTGTGATGGCTTATGACCGGTACACTGCCATCTGCAAGCCCCTGCACTACACAGCCATCATGAACCGGAGGGTGTGCTGGCTCCTGGTGTTTGCCTGCTGGGCAGGGGGCTTCCTCCACTCCATTGTCCAGACACTGCTCACAGTCCAGCTCCCCTTCTGCGGCCCTAACACCATCGACAACTACTTCTGTGATGTGCCTCTTGTTATTCGGCTTGCCTGCACTGATATCTATGTCATTGAGTGGCTCATGGCTTCCAACAGCGGTTTGATATCCCTGTTTTGCTTCCTGGTGCTGGTCACATCTTACATGTTCATCCTGGCCACCATCAGGGTTCGCTTCACTGAGGGGCACTGGAAGGCACTCTCCACCTGCGCCTCACATGTGATGGTCGTCACCATCTTCTTTGTACCCTGCATCTTCATCTACCTCCGTCCCTTTTCTACCTTCCCCTCTGACAAGCACATCTGTGTGATCTACACTGTCCTCTCCCCAGTGTTAAACCCCCTCATTTATACCCTGAGGAATAACGAGGTGAAGGCATCCATGTGGAAATTGTGGAACCGCTGCAGAGACAAGCTGGGTTTGTGACAAACCTGGAGGTCCTTCCCTACAGACTAATGGCAGAGTGGGGCATGGGCACAGGGTTGGGATCCAACACGTAGGGAGTACCTGAAATCCATCTGAAATCATGTTTAGTTCCTGCTAAGAAATATACCCAACCTTGGTTTCTGCAGAGATGCTCTCACCTCTTTTGTTGGCTTCAGGTCCCCTTAGTCCATCAGTGAATGGATTTTTCACTGTTGAGAACACATGAGACTTTGTAAAGGTTTTTACTATTCACACAGCTTTGCAATTAGAATTGCAGCTCCTGGTGACAATTAAACATCCTTCTCTACAAGGTTAAAGAGAAGTCAGGAGGAGTCAGTTCTTGACTACAGAGCAATAGCGTTATGCATTAAGATACGTGATGCAGTGAGTGGATTGGATGTTTCACCTGGGCAGAGCTCAGATATTTGGGACGAAATTCAAAGGGAAAAGGAATTGTGCTGTGGAATACAGCAAAGTCTAAATGCATTTGAGCACTGGATCCACTCAAGTGGGGAGCATTGAGCAGCCTCTGAACATTGCTTGAAAAGAGTAAACCACCATTACACAACAAAGCTTGCACTACTGTTGTTACTGTTTGTTAAGAAACGAGGGATTTTTAAGGCATGGATAGTTCTATTCTCTGAACTATAAATCAGAAAGAAATGAACAACCGTGGGCTTTGTCAGTGTCTTCACATCCCCCCTCCCTGTTGCCTTTGCTCTTCAGTGTTTTTGTCCATGATGTTCCCCTGATTCTCATAGAAATGGATGGACTCTTCCCATCACCAAAGCCATGTCTCTGCTATGGCAAGAGATTACAACCTGTTCAAACATATTTCAGATCCCTTCTGAAGACATTACCTATTGTTACCACAAAGATCTGGTTAGGAAGGAGTTCTGGAGCCTGAGTAACTCCTTTTCCCACACTGTTGGTGAAAGAAAGGAATCTCCTTCAGATCTGAAACCATTAGCTGTGTGGACTCTGCTTTAGGCCTCTTAGTTTTTAGACTGCTTCTTGGGTTTTGGACTGCTTCTTCCAGGCATTTTCTGGCAACTATCTGAAATAGCAGAGACAAAGTCAGTTTATATTTAAAACTGGGCTTGCATTCAGCACAGCATCACTTTGGGACTAGGCTATTCCACTCTAAGAATCCCAGAATAGTGTTATGTCTCTTTTGCTAACTCCCAGCAGTGTAAAAGTAAAAAGCAGCTCCACAAAAGGCTTGAATTAGGTTAACAATGGACCTTTTATGTATATGTATAGACATTGGGAGATCAAAGATCTACAGGGAAATCTGGGCAGTAACCCAGTCTGTACCAGAAAGACTTACAAGCCATTACACAGCAGCTTCTGCTTGGGCCATACAAGAGCTGCTGAAATGCACACCAGGGCTGTTTCCCAATTCGGGAAACAAGCAATTCTGCTGTGTTGAAATCCACTGTTCTAGCAGAATTGAGCGGTACCTACGACAGAAGGTTTCGCCTTCTGTCATAAAGGAGAAACTGGAAACAGGAAACAGGTCTTTCACCACTCATGGCTAAGGCCTGAAGAACCCAGGTTTCGTACTAACTAGCGTAACTGCAGAATTCCCTCCCACAAGAAGCAAGAACTGGTCTTTTTCTTTACCTTTCCATGTATTATGTGTCAAACACCTTTCTTATCTTAGCCTGAGAGAGCAGCATGGCAATATTTCAGACCACATGAGAGAGTAATAGGGTTATGTTTCCCAATTTGAAGAGCAAGGTGTGAGTTCTTGCTTTCTATACTGTGGCTCTCTGAGATCTACAGTACGTGATCTCAGAAGTAACCAGCTTCATGCACGTTGCTCGTCTGATCTTCTTTTAGGGTGCCCAGAGAAGCTGTGGCTGCCCCATCCCTGGCAGTGTTCAAGGCCAGGTTGGACACAGGGCCTTGGAGCAAGCTGCTCTAGTGGAAGGTGTCCCTGCCTGTGGCAGGGGTTGGAGCTGGATGATCTTAAGGCTCCTTCCAACACAAACCATTCCATGATTGTATAACAAGGTCTGTGGACCCTAGGGTATGCACGTGCCTATTCTAAGAGATAAAAAGTGCCCAAGAAATGCCTTTTTTTTGACCATAAAGGGAGTTTATACTGATGAGATCAGATGGACTCACTTCGGGTGCAGATTTGGGTGAGATAAATCAATCTGCTTATCCACATTTGGAATAACCTGGGTCAGGCTGTTGCTGCAGCTTACAGCTAGAATCACACTCAGCTATTTGAACAGAGTATGTTTTATATCTTTCTGTCATCAAATCAATATATAATGGTATCGCATTCAATATATACAACACAAGATAATACATTATCAACAACCAGCAGCACGAAACAATAAATATCACAAAGTATCTACAAAATATAAGCCCTCAAATCATGCAGATCTATTTTATTGGTAATACTGAAAATAAATGCTGAAACACTGAAACCTTCTAAACAGTTTCACTCGTGTGCGAGCCTAACTTTCAAAGAAACAAATCCAGTAAAAGGATTTTCTCTCTCTTAGACATGCTATTGCTGCGCTTAGCCATCAGATGGCAGAGGTGCATATACACAGTGTAACTGCATACACTGATGCTGATGCTCACAGGCAAGCTAAAGGCGGTGGAGATACTGATTGTAGGATTTCCTTTAGACAAAAAGGCTGTGACAAAGCCATAATTCTCTCACACAAGCGAGTTACTAAAATAATACAAGGGACGATATATAGATGAAGAAGTGACACAATCCAGCAGTATATCTGGGGAGATAATAACAGTGCTTGGGAAAAAGACTGAAGAAGAAAGGAGCTTCTGTGATGTGTTTTTAACAACTGACATTCCCACCTTGCAGTAATGAGGTTTCTGTGCTCCTTCAGCAAACTTTATCCTTTACGACAGTAGCAATTATGTCACCAAATCCATCAGTTCAGTGTCTGCCATCAGTAGAACACTGTAAGTTTCCTTGTGCTAGACTAACTCAGGATTGGATTCATCCCACCTTATTTAAGGCATCCCACTGCAGCGTCTCATTCTGGAGCCTGAGTGGGTCAAGGTCTCTCAATAGAGAAAAAGATGCCTTTAAAGGGAAGAAAATAGAGAGGATGAGTGTGAAAAGTCGGTGCCATCTGCCCATAAGCGTGTACAAGTGTTGCCTGAGATCTATACACCCAAGCTCATTCCGAACTCAGTGGAGATGATTTATCTCTCTGAAGTTAAGCTATTTAAACATTAGGTGACTTGATCTGATGTAGTTGTCTTGGCTCCCTTTATAATAAAGGAAAGAAACAAGCCCTCTCAGAAGCCAAACAATCACATCCTTCTTAGAAACTCATCTTAGGGGTCATAGGTTGTCCTCTGCATCTGCTTGTATACAAGCTTTCACTACAGAGGGAGCTGAGCACCCAGTTACTGGTGGGTGAGATATTCACATCCCACATCTCCACTGTGCTTGCTTGTGCTGCAGCACTGATTCGAGGTATTTGATCTGCCCAGGGCACAGGGAAAACCCTGGAAACACTGTATGGAAAGAGCTGAGTGGGAACAGCACCAGCTACGCGTCCATATCTGTATGTCCATATCTGTTCATCTTCTGTATGGAAGAAATACCTGCACAATCTGCATCTGCAGTATCTAATTCCAATTTAAGACTCAAGCAATGATATTTATTTTTAATGGTGAATTTGTACTTCTGTGAGGGAGAAAGTTGAAATACTGAAATGTCCTTTGGGTCACTTGGGTAAATTTCAATTGAGATAAAGAAAAATGCATGAGGCCACGGAGCTGCTGCGAGGGCTGGAGCCAGGCTGAGAGAGCTGGGCTGGGGCAGCCTGGACAAGAGAAGGCTCCTGAAGGGGAGACCTGAGAGCAGCTCCAGTGCCTGAAGGGGCTGCAGGAAACCTGGAGAGGGGCTTGGGACAAGGGCCTGCAGGGACAGGCCAAGGGGAATGGCTTGAACCTGCCCAAGGGGAGACTGAGATGAGCTCTTAGGCAGAAGCTCTTCCCTGTGAGGGTGCTGAGGCGCTGGCACAGGGTGCCCAGAGAAGCTGTGGCTGCCCCATCCCTGGCAGTGTTCAAGGGCAGGTTGGACACAGGGGCTTGGAGCAAGCTGCTCTAGTGGAAGGTGTCCCTGCCTGTGGCAGGGGTTGGAACTGGATGAGCTTGAAGGTCCCTTCCAGTACAAACCATCCTGACATTCTATGAGTTCAGTAAAGAAAAGCTTTTGTTAGGCATTTCAGAATGTATGCTTCAGAAATCATACAGAATCATATCATGTTTAATAACACCCTACTTTGAATCAGATAAAACTGGACAGGAGAACAGGCCTGAACCATGTTTTATCTCACTGAGGCGAATGCTTCAATGTTGTAAGATACAAACTCTCCAAACTTATCTGGCATTTTGAACTGCTCCCTAATGGATAGTAGTGGATGAACTATAACAGATTAAAGTCAAGCTATGCCAGCTGGGTAAAAACATTTATGGCAAAAATAACTTTTGCCATGAAGACCGTATGACTCTGAAGCCTGTAAACCAAGTCCTCAAGACAGTGTAAGCACAGTTATGGGCAACAGGTGGAAAAGCATTCAGTTGTTGTAAATCAATGCAAGTCTCTTCAGAGCCCCATGTCTGGTTATTCAGCTGTTGTTAATTTGTTTTGCTTCATTTGTTCAGCAGGTATAAATCAGGGGCATCAACAGGTCAGGGCTTATAGAAGCTGCTGATGTAAGCTCACAGTTGAGGTAACCATGTCTATAGGAAAAGGTCAGAGCTTCTGCTAGCAGAGATTTATGGCTAGAGGGTAAGTGAGCAATGTCCAGGACCTTGGCCAACTATCTCAAAGCTTGGGGGAGTGTCCATTGTACCCTAGAAATGTTGCTGCAGCTGCTTGCATGCAGCAACTGCAACTGGCAGGGGCTCTTTGGTCAGCTAAAGGACCAATTTTCCCCTTTGTGATGACTCTATGTAACTAAAAACCGGATCATTCCTACCATTGAGTTTCTCAGGAAGTCTGTGAGGTTTTGGCAGCTTGTGTTAGCTTAAAACTGTTGCTTTGGGATCAGCAGATGTTGAATTGGGTTGACTGGCCCTGTTTTTGAAGGAAATAGAAGGGAACTACCAAGGTGAGCAGCAGGATCAGAGGAGACGGGGATGGGAGACAGAGTCCCTCTGCTTTGGCAGCCAGAAAGGATATAACCAGCCATCTTCACTGTTTCTGTTATTTAGTGCTATTCACCAACCTAATCACAAATCCAGGCTTTAGATACTTATGGGATATTTAATTTAAGCTGTGTTTAATTAATTTTAAGATCTCCTGCTTTTTGTGTCAGCTCCTATTACCTGTATCCTCATGGTGAAACTGGCCTGCAAAGTGCTCATTGGCCTCCCCAAAGACATAGGAAACTGCCATATCCACTCTAAATCGTTTCTCAGTGCTACTACTGCTTTGTGCTGAGCTTGCCACTGGATGCTGCAGGAGAAGCAGTAAATCCAAGAATGTTGTCTTTTAAAGAGGAAGAACTGTGGCAAATGCAAAAGGGGAAAATGGTGACATTTAACTGGCTGATCTATAAATAATTCTGCATTTCTTTGCCAAGCTCATCTGTAAGGTCACAAAATATATCAGCTGAGAGTAATTGGGAATGTAGTTATCCACCAGGAATGGCTTGTGGGAGAGCTATATCAGTGTCTGTGTGGGGTTAAGGGCAGACTGGAATAGCAGAGGTCGTTGTGCTGTGAGGATGAAGTGGCTCCGTGGGGCTTTGGAGAGAAATCAGAGTTGCAGTCAGTGGTGGTGAATCCAGGAGCAGACCCACCCCTCTGTGTGAATTAAGGACATGAGCTTTAAGGTCCCTTCCAACCCAAGCCAGCATGTGAGTCTATGGTTTTTGAGTAGTTCATGCCCAAGTTGAGTGACTTTTCTCCTTGACACTGTTTCAGTCTTTGTTTTAGTTTGGATCCCTGAGACCCCTGAGGAAATTCAAGACCGTCTTGTCTCTGTCCCGCCCCATGGCAGGAGGCTGTGGGGCAAAATCCATGGATCTTAAAACTAGAAAGGACCTTGCTGCTTGTCTGTAGAAGTTGCATGGCCTGGAATCCCATGGGATTTACACTCTCACACCTCGATCACTGTAGTGTGAAAGCGTTCCTCATATGAGGGGATCCATTTCATAGTCAGTGATGCACATTTTTGCTCAACACAGGATTTGTCAATCACCATTTTTCTCTCAACATTATGCTGGGTCCCATTAAGAATCATAGAATAGTTTGGGTTGGAAAGGACCTTAAGATCATCCAGTTCCAAACCTGCTATGGGCAGGGACACCTCACACTAGACCATGTTGCCCAAGTCTCTGTTCACCCTGGCCTTGAACACTTCCAGGGATGGAGCATTTATCACTTCCAAAGAAGAAACATTTGTGCTGGGAGACAGAAGGGAAACTGTGCAAAACAGGGACACCAGGCTGATAACTGTTAGTAAATGCCTAAATCTGTCTGATGATCAAGTCCCCATCAGAATCAGTGCTGGATTTCATCTGTTTCTTTATTTGTAATCACAAAACTCTAATTTCCTACTTTAAGTTCTGCATGCGCTCTAAAGGACTCTTCCTCTAAAGGAGGACGTGGACCTTCATGGCTCAATGTGAGCTATTTTCTTTGCTCTATAAGGAAACACAGTGCAGATCATTGCAATTACTGATCTGAAATCATCACTTGGATTTTGAAGCCAAACGCAAGCTCTGTATGGTTTGGGGAAACCTGTGTCTCAAGACAAGCAATTTAATCTAATTGATTTTTCTCTCCAGGAAACAGCTTGGGATGGTTTTAATAAGGCCTCAGAAGATGCTGTTTAAAAAGTTAGTGCCTGGCAAATTGCAAGGGTCCAACTTGGCAGGTGAGTTTGTAAGTGTGTAAATTGGTTTCTCTGCGCCTCATTAAAATCTCGGGTTCTTTCTCTCCTGGAAATTAGCAGCTCTGTGAGTTTATGCTCAGCTTTGATTATTGCCTTAATCTAAAGCACAGTGGAAAAACTGCCTCAAGGGACAAAACGTCATAGAATTGTAGAATGGTTTGGGTTGGAAAGGGCCTTAAGTTCATCCAGTTCCAACCCCCTGCCATGGGCAGGGACACCTCACACTAGACCAGCTTGTTCCAAGGCCTTGAACCTTAAATATATCCATTTCTTGAAGCATTAGATACAAGGCATTCCTTGATATTGTTTAGACCCTTGACTGCAACACAAAATATCCCAGCCTCTTATTGTAGCAAATGATGCCATGGTCGAATCAAGTCCTTTGAAAACTGGCTGGATCTCTACAATGCTTTTGTTAAATCCCCCAAAACTGAGGAGATTCTGATCTAATCAATTTTATTTAAAGACTATGGGTAAAGCAGAGCAACCTGCATTGCACTGTTGAGGGGCAGCTTTAAAACTGCTTGGATTGGGCTGGCTTCAATCATAGAGTCATAGGTTTAGGTTGGAAGGGACCTTAAAGCTCATCTAGTTCCAACCTGCTGCCATGGGCAGGAACATCCTTCAAATATCTCTTTTGTGGTGTGACACATTATCTGATCTTCACAATAAAAGCTAAACTTGGAGATGGCTCTTGGTAAAGCTAAGGCTAATCCACACCTGTCCCAGGGTTCCTGCTCTACAGACCTCTTCTGGCTGCTGCTTCTTGCCAGAACCTATAGGGCAAATAGGGGACAAAGTTTTGACTAAAATCCCAAATTTAACTTTTAGAAGATGTTGTCAGGGAAGGTGACAGTGAGTATGGAGCCCATCTGCTGTGTGAGATTGTTACCTTGTTAAGCATGAAGACAGCAGAATCACATCAAATAATCCCCACGTCTGAAATACAAATGAGAAACACATCAGAGGAAAAGGAGCTTTGTCAGCAGCCAAGTCTGTAATCGGTCTGTGTTCATGATAAGCATTCTGTGGTCATGGTAAGCATTCCAAGCTGGAAAGCTCAATACTCAACAAGGCTCAATCTCATAACTGGCCAATATCAAATGGCTTTGGTTGTGTTGTGCTGTGTATGGTCCTGGCATGGCAGAAGGGATGGGCAGCACCAGCTCCGATGATGTCTCTGAATTCATAGAGTTTGTTTTGCCTTATCCAGCTCCAACCCCTGCCACGGGCAGGGACCCCTTCCACTGGAGCAGCTTGCTCCAAGCCCCTGTGTCCAACCTGGCCTTGAACACTGCCAGGGATGGGGCAGCCACAGCTTCTCTGGGCACCCTGTGCCAGCGCCTCAGCACCCTCCCAGGGAAGAACTTCTGCCTAAGAGCTCAGCTCAGTCTCCCCTTTGGCAGCAGAGGGCCAGGATCCCCTCCCTGAGCTGCTGCTCACGCTCTGGGTGTGCAGCCCAGCACACACTGAAGCCAGGTCACGGGGAACTTCTCATCCACCAACACCCACAAGTCCTTCTCCTCAGGGCTTCCCTCATTCCAGTTTCTGCCCAGCCTGCATCTGTGCTTGGGACTGGGATAATTCAGCTTTAGCCCAGCATAATGCCTGGCATTCTGCTAAACTACTAATTTCTAGGCACCAGCATGATGCACAGGCAATAGCTATCTTGCCAAAATGCAAACTTCTAACGTGTGGCAACATGTTAAAGTACAAACATGGTCAAGGAGAGGGTCACGTCATAAATCTTAAGTAATTCTTATGGCCTTAAATGATTCTTTAAATGATTGAATGATCCAATCCCTTGTGGCAGGGGGTTGGGAGCAGATGAGCTTTGAGATCCCTTCTAACCCAAGCCATTCTATGCTTATCAACAGTGGGCTTTAGACATAAGGTCTCAGATTAAAAATACTGAAAGCAAATAATAGCAGCTCCCTTTTTGTGGCCTGTATACGCACATTTATCTCCTGACTCTCGGTACGGCGCTGTGCTCTGCAGCCTTTCACCACGCAGAGATTTTGCATGAGCTATTGCCCTCTTGTGCCTGTTCAACGAAAAGACGGGTAGCTGTCAGTGGAAGAGGCATGAAGCCAGTTTCAGAAGTTGGAAGGGCACAGTCAGTCCTAGCTCTTCTCCCAGCTGTGATGAGATTGATCTATTTACTGTATCTCTTTCCGGCATCTGGGTTTATTACAGAATGATTAGCTCCATTCTTTGTTCCAAAACTTCAGAAGTCTGATGGGCCTAGGGCTAACAGTACATAAAGATCTGGACCACATGGATTTATTCCAGCCACAGGTCTATACAACCATAGCAGGAAAAGCATCTGCTTTATAACTCTTTGAGAACTCCAATTTATCTTCTGACATATGCAGAAGTCTTTATTTTGTAAAAGAGGCACACTGCAAACATGACAAACAGGCTTTAAGAATGATTGACTGTATCATTCCTGTTGACAGTGCAGGAGCTATGGGCAGGTAATACTGGGATATGAGCAGTACATCAGATGGAAAGTGATGCTCAAATAAATGAATGCGTAATGCATGGATGCTTTCTGGAATCGGAGGGGGATTTATTAGCTCTTCAAAGTACTGCTGATAACTTATGCTCTTCCATATGCTAGGGTACATATCTGCTTCAAGTAGTGCATGGATTTCACAAGTAGCTTATCTTCTGTTGTTTCTGTAGGGGGTAAACAAAATTAAAAGGTTTCTCCCCTGAAGAAGTAGAGATTGCCCATAAAACCAACATGGAAAGCACTTACACAGGCACATGATGGTGTGCTAGCTGCCCTTGTAACACCAGCACAACTGCTCCACAGCAGTCACTCGGGTTCTGCTCTTCATTCATCCTGCAAAGACACTGTTACCACTGTCCTTCTCTAAGGTGCGTGCCTTTGCAAAGGAGCTGTTCCCCAGCTTATTGTGATCCAGTATGTGTAAGCAATAGATTTAAGGCTCCAGAGCAAGACAAATTAGTCTGAAAACAGTTTGTGACCAAGTAGCTTTAAGGCTGTAGTTTAAAGCAATCAGAATGCTAGACTCTTGTGAGATCATAGAATCATAGAATAGTTAGAGTTGGAAAGGACCTTAAGATCATCCAGTTCCACCCCCCCTGCAATGGGCAGGGACATCTCACACTAAACCATGTCACCCAAGGCTCTGTCCAACCTGGCCTTGAACACTGCCAGGGATGATGGAGCATTCACAACTTCCTTGAGCAACCCATTCCAGTGCCTCACCACCCTAACAGGAAAGAACTCCTTCCTTATATCCAATCTAAAGTTCCCCTGTTTAAGTTTGAACCCGTTACCCCTTGTCCTATCACTATAGCCCCTAATGAAGAGTCCCTCTCCAGCATCCCTATAGTCCCCCTTCAGATACTGGAAGGCTGCTATGAGGTCTAAGATGTAAGACTTCAGGAGCTGGAATGGCCGAGTTGGGCTGGCAGCCCCTAGGGAGAAGGACACCATCTCCTTTTCCTGGGAGAAGAGTCATGTATCAAACCACAGCCCTTTAAAAAGGTCCTGCAACATGAAAACCATGGGAATCAAATGGTATAGAGTGAAGAAATAGCTTCTCACATTTTAGCCTTCTCCTGATTCTGAAAAAGCCTCATAAACGCAACACAGCATCCAAAAAAGCTTCAGAGACACTCCTCCCCAGGTACGTCTTCAAGTGTATAAAAGCTCGTTAAAGAGGTACTCACCCTTGTAGGCAAGGGTTAGCCAGTGCCTGCAGATGTCTGCCTGCGTGTTCCTGTGCTGCTAAACCCGGACCCATCGCTTCCTTAATGGATTGTTGCTCCAGAGACTACAGTGAAATCATTTTTCTGCTGTATGCAGATATTCTAGGCACGTGTTGAAAGAAGAAAAAGGATTGTCATGTTTCCTGGAGTTACAGATGCCTGTGTAGCGCCAGTAACTAATCCTTTGTAGCAGTGAGTATTTCTGTGTTAGGTTTCTGTTGTATTTTACCTGGAGAAGTTTCCAATTTTAAGAATGAGCGATATTATGATTTAAAGCACTGTGTGCCTTTTATTTCTGCTTAAATGAATCTTACAGTATTTTAAACTCTGATTTTGGTCCCTTTTGAGGTGGAAGCAAGCTGCTGTGAGAACATGAGAGGATAGATGAGCCTGTCTCAGATGGGATGTCAGTCACCTATTTCACTTGTTATTTGTATTTCTCATACGTAAGAATGTGTTCTGATATTCACACCATCTCATAATCATGCTCTAATCTGCAAACAAAGAGGTGCTTGTGCCAAACTTTGCCCTATCTCTCTACAGGGCTACTAGGTAAAGTATGCTATGAGTTACATTCAGTGTAGCAGTGCAGGTTAGACAGATCTTCAGTGACAATCCTAGACTACTTTGAACTGGGAAAAGGGGATGGGAAGTCCAGCTATTCCTAGAAGTACTAATAATATTATGGAATCCTATATGGTAAAGTAAAGAAAGAAGGGAGGTCTTTAAGTGAATGCTAGATTATATCTCTTTATATCCCACTGGATAAAGCTGAAAAAAATCTGGGATATACTGTCTGTCAATCACCAGCAATTTAATTCTTCTACAGGTCCCCTTGCTCAGAGTACTGCTGCCTTCAAAGCCCAGTTGGGTTGCTTGCTGTGTCCAACCAAGGTAGCCACCACAGAGGAGGTATCTTTGTCTTCAACCATCAGCACTTTAGCTTGTAAGAATTAAACCTTTTTGATTAATCCCTGTTAAGCTTAATACCTGTATTTGTTGATTTCAGGCTGTGTGCAAAACAAGCCATAAAACATTCACACTTTAGAAGGGAGATTTAGATTTTGTGTGGCAATACAAACTTGTAAATGATTTTCAACTGCAAAACAAGCCATAAAACATGCACTCTTTAGAAGGGAGATGCAATTTTGCTTGAGAACAAGGTGATTTCATTCCATGGCTGCATGTTCCAGCTGTTTTTCCTCATTGATGTCGTAGGCACAGAGATTTTCCTCTTGGCTGTGATGGCATATGACCGGTACGTTGCAATATGCCATCCACTGCAGTACATGAATATCATGAGTACAAAGCTGTGTGCTCACCTAGCCACTGGCATCTGGGTAGCAGGGCTGTTAAACTCCCTGTTGCACACATCTTTGATTTTTACACTCTCTTTTTGTGAGTCTAATGAAGTTGGCCAATATTACTGTGATATCCCTCCCATGCTGGCCTCTCTGGTGCTCCACAGTTGCTGGAGCCACTCCGTTTTCACTCTGGTCTCATATATCTACATCCTATGGGCTGTGCTATGCATGAACTCTTCTGAGAGCAGGCACAAAGCCTTCTCCACCTGTGGGTCTCACTTGACAGCAGTATGCCTCTTCTATGGGACCACCATTTTCACATATGCACGGCCTTCCTCCACCTACTTGCCTAATCAGGACAGGATAGTTTCCATGCCCTATGGAATCCTCACTCCCCTGCTAAACCCCATAATCTACAGTCTGAGGAACAAAGAAATTAAATGTGCCCTGAGAAGAGTGGTCACCCAGGTAAGAACTACTTTAACAAGACAAGAACATCACTCTTGGTCTCTGACACCTTGTGGAGCTCTACCAGCTGGATAGGAACTGCAGTTTGTGACTGCTCTTCTCTAACTTTAGCCAACTAAAAGTTAGGTGCTGGAATCAAAGCTCCTTCTCTGGGTTCCCTTTGAAGAGGTGTGCACCTCCAGGAGACCAGTTGGATGGCACAGTTTTTGGTCACTGTCACAGGAGGAGATGACTTCTGCTGGTAATGTTATTCTCCACTGAACAAGAGGAAGCTTAGATGAGATCCTCAGCCTTAGACACAGGTGATATAAGCATATCTTAGTGTGAATGCTGGGAACTGGTAGTGTAGGCACACTTACATCTACATTCTTCTGTACTAAAGCAGCCTAGAGGACTGGTACCTCTTCCTGACCACACTGCTCCTGCAGAAAACATGAGCACATCCTTTGTGGGGGGCTGAATGGAAGGATGGCTCCTTTGCCATCATTTCAGGTCATCAGTCTGGGAGTGTTCTCAACCAGCATGCTGAGAATCCAACTGCAACACCAAGCACAATCTGGCCATAGTTTGCACTGTGTATCTCAAAATCAGTCTGCCAGGGTGTGAATCAACTCCCACAGTCATAGAATCAGCTAGGTTGGGAAAGACCATTAAGGTAATCAAGTCCAACTGTTCCCCAACACTGCCAAGTCCACCACTAACCCATGTCACTAAGGGCCTCATCTGCATGGTTTGTGAACGCTTCCAGGGATGGTGATTCCACCACTGCCCTGGGCAGCCTGTTCTAACGCCTGAACTAGAGATGTCAATTGTGCTCATGTGTCCATATATTAGACAGCTTTAAGACTCCTCTTATGGCCAGTGAGGGGAAAAGGGAGGCTTTGTATTCATGGGCTTTGTGACCATTGCTCTGGCTTTTCCCAGTCCCAGCAGACTGAAGGAAGGTTTACAAAGTGTGCTTAAGGTCTGAGTCCATAGGTAAAACCAGTGCTTCACACCAAGCAAAAAGTGAAGGCATGGCTGACTAAGGTGGAAACAGATGTGCAGAGAGGTGGGGTGCTGTGCAGTCTCTGTGTGTTGTGGCTACAAATCCGTGTATCTCTTAGCTATGAGGGTCTATGCTGGGATGATAAACTCTTACAGCTTGAGATGGGCCTTGGACTGTGTTAAAGTGCTGTGGTGTGTCGTTCCAGCTGTTGTGCCATGTGCTAAATCACTGCTGTGACTTTGTTGCTTGCACACTACTTACTCAAACCACGTGTCAAGGATGTCTGTCTCAGTGGCCTTTTTTGTGGTTGCTGCCTTGGTGTAAAAGATAAGCTAATGGTTTCTCTGCAGGAACTTGAATCTTAGTCATAGCAAATGCACATTCTTAATATTAAAACAATGGAAATCACTCAAGCTTTATCCATTCTCAGCTGCTGGTCATGTTGACAACGGGTTCAAAGGTCAACAGTAATGACCAAAGAGCTTTTCTCTTGGGTAATACATTCAGGATTTCCTGGGGTTTTCTTTTGGTTTTAAAGCATATCTCAGCAGCTTAAGAAAACGCATGTAACTCCATCTGAGACCAGCTTCAAAGACAAGCACTAAGAAGTCAGGGCTACCCATGTAGCTGTAACACTATGGAGCTTCCCACAGAGTTCAATGCCATGACTTACGGTGCAGTTGGGATTTGGTTTTCTAAGCACAAGTTTCAATAGCACGCAAGGTCACCCAAAGTATCCTTCCTGGTCCATAGTTCCTGCTCCATCAAACATACAGAGAGAGTAGATGAGAAAACAGAAGTTCTTGAACTATAACAGTGGAAACCATTTAAAAAAACCCAACTATTTATCCCAAAGCCGTCTGGCAAATCCCAAGATATGCATCAGTGTGGACAAAAATGTACACAGAAAGCCCAGCACAGGCTACAACACCGTTCTACTTCTGGGGTCAGGTAACTGCTCTTCAGGGGTTACTTTAAAGCAAATCCCCTGTCCTGTCACTACAGGCCCTTGTCAAAAGCCCCTCTCCAGCGTTCTTGTCAGCCCCTCTAGGTATTGGAAGGCTTCTATAACGTCTTTTTTTTCCTTTGGTAGGCACTGCCAAACTACTTGTACATTTAATTATTCTCATTTACCAAATCTCAGGTTCTTTGAGACCTGTTTGGACTCCTGAATCTCTGTGGTACTCAGAGAAACACAGGCTTGCTACTGCTCTTGGAATGGGTGGTTTGACCTCCCAGTTCTTTAGACTGTACATTACAGGATTGAGCTTGGGAATCACCAGAGCAAAAATGAAGCAATAATTACTGTGCTCCATAGAGAACTGTGAACTGTGTGTACGTGAAGAAGCCTGTTCCATAAAACACGGCAGCAGGAATCAGGTGGAAGCAGAAGTGGAGAAGGCTTTTGCCTGCCTTTGGACTTAGATCTTGTGGATGGCAACTGTGATGCAGATGTAGATTAAAATGAGGAGCTTGGTTGAGGTGATGAGCACAGCCGCACAGGTGAAGTGCTCCATGATGTGTGCGTTGGAGCAGGACAGCTTCGGGATGCGGGGCACAGCATAGAAATGTTACTGCAGCAACTGGCCCAAGAGACGTGCTGTAGGCATCGAGGACCTCAGCCCTGCATCTGGACACTGGCATCATCTTGTCTGGTCAATGAGCTTGTGTCTGGGCAAACCACTGTGGAGCTGCCCCTGAGAGGCAGCTGCAGGCACTCCGAGGGCCCTGTGGTCCCCAAAGGTGCCTGGGGTGGGGCTGGAGGGAGCTGCTCTCAGGGAAGGCTTGGAGAACAAGTGAAGTTGAGCCAAAGGACCTGCCCTGCAGGGTGGCAGAAGGGGCTGGCCAGGGCAGGGCTGAGCAGGAGCTCTAGGAGCAGCAACCCCCTTGCCCAGGCTTCTCCTCTTGGCCAGGTCCTCCTGCTGGGACAGCACAGCTTCCCCTGTGCCCCTGAGCCCGCCTTCCCTTTCCCATCCCCAACACACCCTGCCCCTCCAGCAGGGGTTAGTCCACTTGCATGGCTCTTTGGAGAACCATCAACGTGTTTATTTACAAGAAGAGAGGGCTCACGGAGAACAGGAGCTCTGGGAAGCCTGGCCCTGCCTCTCCGCACCACGTCAGCTGCATTCAGTGGGAGAGCTCTCCGGGGATGAGGACACCTTCCTTCGCCGCTGCCGAATCCTCTCCAGCACCGCACGCAGGATATTGTTGGTCGATGCTGCTGCAGTGTCCTGCGCGTCCCGGGCTGGGCATGGTTGGCATGAGCTCACGTTCCTGGTGACAGGGGAACCTCAGTGCTGCTGCGAGGATGGGCTGTGCTGGCTGGGGATCCCCTCTGGGCACCAGGAGTTGGAGCTTGGAGCCATCTTGGGTGGGCTTCCCTGTGAGAGGCCATCAGGACATCTCCTTTGCCTCTCTGTGCTCCTGGAGGTTTCCCTAGCAGGGAATGCTGGGACAAGGCTTGGGGATCCAAGGGTGGATGCTGGCCCTGGCGAGTCCTTCACCATCCCACAGGGTGGCCCTGGCGCATCCTTGGTGTCTGTGGCCATCTCATTCCCAGAGCTGCAGGATGTGCTGGGCAGGGTCCTGGCCTCCAGGAATGCCTGGCTGCTCTCCGTCCCTGGAACGGGGCCGTAGGAGGAGACACAATACAGGCAGGAGCACGGTGTCATGGGGACCAGAGTGCAGGTGAGGGATGCCTGAACCTGCTCCTGCAGGACCCATTCCTTCTGCCTGAGCTGCTTTGCTTTTGCCATAATGGCAGAGCTCTTGCGGGGCTGCAGCTGCCCAGCCCCAGCCTTCCTCCGTCTGGGCAGTGAGCATTGCGACATGCCCATGGACCTCTGCACTGCCTTGGGGAGAGTTTGGAGTTTTATCTCCAGGCATTTTCTTGCTGTGTGGGTCCAGAGCTTGCTGTGGACCTTCTGGTTCAGCTCCAGCCTTGCGTTGCTGATAGGCGCTGTGGCACAGGACCAGCTCCTGTCCTCGTTGTGGGCATGGCCCCTGCCTTGTGTGGGGATGTTGATCTGACAGGCAGCACCTTTCTTCAGGAGCATGGAAGCTGGTCCTGCTTCTGGTCCTGCTGCTCCATTATCCAGGCTGGGACAGGCAGGGGGGGCCGCGCCTGAACCAAAAGGCCTCAGGCACTCCTTGTCCCACGGTGACAAGCCCCTACCCTGGTGAAGGAGGCTCTTCCTCAGTGTATTCTCCTCTGGTGCTTGGATGGCTGGTTTCTCCTCAGATCCACGGGGGCTCTGTGGCTCCTGCTGTCCTGCTTTGTGCTGTCCCAGTGCACTGGCATTGCCCGGGGCCCTGGGCTCCCCAGCTCTGCTCTCCTTTGGCAGCTTTGAGTCCAGGGGACCAAGCAGCGGTGGAGGGCACAGCATCTGCGGTGCCAGGGACTCCTCGGTGGGGTTTGGGTCCCCCCATAGCCTCTGCACTTCCTTCTCTTCAATGGTATCCACAATAGCGTTTGCTTTGGCCTGCATTGAGGGGCACAGAACGTGCCGCAGCCAGGGCTGGCTCTGTCCCGGCAGGATGAGCTTGGGCAGGACAGGGAGGCAGCCCTGCTGCTGTGCTGCTTGCTCCTGGGACTGCTGCACCGGCACGGGCAGGGCCCCCAGCTCTATCTCCAGGGCTTTCTGAGCCACGTGCATCTTCAGGGCTGAAGAGACTCTGCCAGCACACGTGTGGTCGAGGGAGCAAACAGACCTCACCTCCATAGGGGCTCCTTCATCTCGAGTCAGGAGCGTTGCTGTCAGGTTCTTGGAGGGACTGATGCTCTCGGGGTAACTGGGGGAGCCGCAGCAGCTCAGCTCTCCCTGCTCCACCAGCTCCTCCAGGTCCTGCCATAGCGCCTGCCACAGCGCCTGCCACGTGCCAGCATCCAGAGCGGCTGCAGCTCCTCTCCCAGCCCACGCTGACAGCACCAGCTCCTGCAGCTCCTGCGCAGCCTTGATGCAGTCGGTGCAGCCGGGCCTGCAGCGCCAGGGCCCGCACAGGGGGGACACAGCGTTACCTGCAAGGCAGGGAGGGGTTCTTGAGTGTCGGGGGGCCGGAACCGACCTGGGACCGTACACCCAGCCTGCTCCCCATGGGGCTGGGCTCCCCTGGGGGACCTGCCGGGGACTTACATGGCTCTGCTGCCCGAAATCGCCGCCTCCATCTGCGCTGTTGCTTGCCCTGGCCATCACCCTGTGGGAACATCATTGTGGCACAGTCACCTTTCTGGGGACAGGCACCACCAGTGCTGGAACCAAGTGGGCCCCATGGCCACAAGTGATCCCATTGGTGACGGCTGATGGCAAGCAGGATGGCCCCAGCAGCCAGGATCAGGATGCTGAGGCCCAGAAGAAAGCTGCTGTTGCCCATGTGCACTGCCCGTGACAACCACATTGGGAGCTGTGGAACAGTGGCACGTGTTGCTGTGAAGTTAGAGCCTGCTGCAGAGAACAGCCGAGTGATGTTACAGGCCCCATTATGCCAGCACCGTGGGCATCCTGCTGCTGCTGCTTCATGAGCCCTAAATATCCTTGTGCAGATATGGGTCTTGAAACTGGAACGAAATCATGGGTCAAAGAGCACGGCCGTCCCTGTGCTCAGTGTCTCCTTGTGTGTGACTCGCCTGAGACACCTCAGTTTTGCCTTCTTCTCTTAGAAGAACCATAAAAAAACATATCCCTAACATACAGCATAGCCATCCAGGTGGTCGTAGCAGCCGGTAATGCTGTCACAATGGGGCTTGTGCTCAGGATGGCAGTTGTCAGGGGTGGGGTATTAGTGTTCAATTTCCTGTAAGCAGTTTGTAGAATCCCGGACTGGTTTGAGTTGGAAGCGACCTTCAAGCTCATCCAGTTCCAACCTGGCCTTGAACACTGCCAGGGATGGGGCAGCCACAGCTTCTCTGGGAACCCTGTGCCAGCGCCTCAGCACCCTCACAAGGAAGAGCTTCTGCATAAGAGCTCATCTCATCTCCCCTCTCTGTGTGTTTAACATGGCGAGGATTACATGCTGAGGATTGCTGACCTTGTGAAACAATCAGCCTTTATATGAGGGCTACAAGGAGCAGACGTAAAGGGAGGGGAATCATTGTTTTAGGTTTTGCTGGTCCTCATAAAACAATAGACATGCAATCCGAATTCCAGTCCACAGTCTCCTTATTCAATCTAAAGGTAGTTCACACCACTGCCAGTCTTCCCTATTGGACCATTAAGTTGTATTTTTACTGATTCACAGTCTGTGGTCCTCTGAGACTAATACTAGAGGGCTGATTAAGAGATGACTTGTCCCTGAAAGCACAGCCAGAGCAGAAGAGAGACACAAAGTCCTCTCCTAAGCTCAGGTAAGCAGTGTCCACAGCCTATATATAGATGTTTGCACTCTGGATACTTCCTGGAATTTGAGTGATTATTTCTCTACATTGATTACTAGAGCAGTAGAAGTTTAAGCTTAGAGGAGTAACTTTTAATTGTTTTACGTTGACTGATGAACCCCATATTACCAATATCAAATGATAGAGCAGAGGCGTGAATAACAAACCAAACATGATAATTTCCCCTATTCTGGACTGGCTTTCCCACATCATTTTCCCCCAAAGCAGAGCATCCATTTCATCCCTTTCATGTGTCATGGTTTAGCCTCTCGCCAGAGGTATTTGGAAGGTCTAAGCATATCCATCACTGGCTACTGCAAGCCTCTGTGGAGCTTTCCCATCTCATCAACGACAGTTTGAAATAGGGAAGTTAAAGATCAGTTCTGCCGTGGTGTTTTGCTTTCCTCCCATGTGATTGTTTTGCTCAAGATCTAGTGTCTTGCCTCAGGGATGTCCTCTCTGAACTCTTTAGCCCAGAGCTTCTGCCTGTGTTCTGTGTAAGTGCTGGGGAACAGGCTATGGCAATAGGAAGATAGAATCTGTTTGGTGTAATTTCAGCAGCATAAAATTCAACCAGGTAAGACTAATCTAACTGTTGGGGCTTCTTCTGTAGTCAGTGTAAGGAGGGAGAGACCTGCAGAAAGCAAAACATGCCATTTTCCTTAAACTTATTTTACAATGGGATGAACCATCCTTTGGAAGTGTCCATTTCCTGCCAATGATAGCTAAAAAGATAGCTAAAAGAACCCGGCTAACTTTTAGATGCCTAAAAGTAGTTAGGATGAGTTTTCATGCATTTTGAGGGCTTCTCTGACCTCCAGAGCCTTTGAGGTCTGCTGTTGTGCCAACACAAATTTCATGTCATACAAAGCTATCCTCATTCCATTTAGATGTTATTGGGGACTACTGGGAGGAATGTCTCAAGTTCAGAAGCAATAAAACTGTAGGACCTTACGTGCTTGCCTTTGGACATATATAGAATCATAGAATGTTTTGGGTTGGAAAGAACCTTAACATCATCCAGTTCCAGCCCCCTGCCATGGCAGCGACACCTCACACTAGACCATGCCACCCAAGGCTCTGTCCAGCCTGGCCTTGAACAATGCCAGGACATGGAAGCAGCCCTGCTGCTGTGCTGCTTGCTCCTGGGACTGCTGCACCGGCACCGGCACGGGCAGGGCCCCCAGCTCTATCTCCAGGGCTTTCTGAGCCACGTGCATCTTCAGGGCTGAAGAGACTCTGCCAGCACACGTGTGGTCGAGGGAGCAAACAGACCTCACCTCCATAGGGGCTCCTCCATCTCGAGTCAGGAGCGTTGCTGTCAGGTTCTTGGAGGGACTGATGCTCTCGGGGTAACTGGGGGAGCCGCAGCAGCTCAGCTCTCCCTGCTCCACCAGCTCCTCCAGGTCCTGCCATAGCGCCTGCCACGTGCCAGCATCCAGAGCGGCTGCAGCTCCTCTCCCAGCCCACGCTGACAGCACCAGCTCCTGCAGCTCCTGCGCAGCCTTGATGCAGTCGGTGCAGCCGGGCCTGCAGCGCCAGGGCCCGCACAGGGGGGACACAGCGTTACCTGCAAGGCAGGGAGGGGTTCTTGAGTGTCGGGGGGCCGGAACCGACCTGGGACCGTACACCCAGCCTGCTCCCCATGGGGCTGGGCTCCCCTGGGGGACCTGCCGGGGACTCACATGGCTCTGCTGCCCGAAATCGCCGCCTCCATCTGCGCTGTTGCTTGCCCTGGCCATCACCCTGTGGGCACAGCAGTGTGGCACAGTCACCTTTCTGGGGACAGGCACCACCAGTGCTGGAACCAAGTGGGCCCCATGGCCACAGGCGACTTCGTCTGCGACGGCTGATGGCAAGCAGGATGGCCCCAGCAGCCAGGATCAGGATGCTGAGGCCCAGAAGAAAGCTGCTGTTGCCCATGTGCACTGCCCGTGACAACCACATTGGGAGCTGTGGAACAGTGGCACTTGCTGCTGTGAAGTTATAGCCTGCTGCTGAGAACAGCCGAGTGATGTCAGAGCCTGTAATGCTGTCACAATGGGGGTTGTGCTCAGGATGGCAGCTGTCAGTGGTGGGGTGTTAGTGTTCAATTTCCTGTAATCAGTTTGTAGAATCCCGGACTGGTTTGAGACAGGATTCTTCCCAAGACAACTGAACTCTGGAGGTCAAGCAAAGCACTGCCACCTTCCACATACTCCCTGACTTAGAATCATAGAATCACAGAATAGTTAGGGTTGGAAAGGACCTTAAGATCATCCAGTTCCAACCCCCCTGCCATGGGCAGGGACACCTCACACTAAACCATGTCACCCAAGGCTCTGTCCAACCTGGCCTTGAACACCGCCAGGGATGGAGCATTCACAACTTCCCTGGGCAACCCATTCCAGTGCCTCACCACCCTTACAGTAAAGAACTTCTTCCTTATATCCAATCTAAACTTCCCCTGTTTATGTTTTAAGCCATTACCCCTTGTCCTGTCACTACAGTCCCTAATGTCCCTCCCCAGCTTGTGCTATAATGCAAGGACAATCTGCTAGATGTTCTTTAAAATGTGCTCTTTGCCTTTCTTAGTTTGGTTATTGCAGATATGAAACAAAACACTCCTGGAAATGAAATGCCATCTCATTCTCAAGAAGGACAATGAATAAAGGTCATGTACTGGTCAAGAAGACGTTCTGTCCACTTCCCACTTCCCAGCCCTTAGGGTTTGGTTGCTTTCATAGGTGCTGTTGCTCAATCCTGATACCTAAGAGGAAGCAGAAACAGACTGAAATCAAAAGAGACCTGAGTATGGTTGGGGCTGGTATGGGGAAAAGGGGTAGAACTGCCTCTTAGCAATTGTTTCTGAAGGAAGGCACTGTTGAAGGACTTGGTACAAGAAGAGAAAGGTTTCCAGATGATCTAAACTAATGATGGTGTCACTTTCTCTTCCCATTCCTCAGTCTCTCCATGCACTGGTGTTTCTTATGCTGGATGTGGATGTAGAAACAGATTCTCAGTCCCCTTCCTCCTTCCTTTTGAGTCTCTGCAGTTTTCAGCTGTGTTCCTGGTTTGCCAGCTGTTACTGTAGGCCTCTGTGTGGTTGTGTGACTGTGAAGTGACTATGGGCCACTTTAGGTTGAAATAGCTTAGGAAATACGCATTTCTCCTGGACTGAGCCACTTCTGGATCAAGCTGCTTTCCTGCCCCCTGGAGCAGAGCAAGGAGGTGCTGAACCCCTCCCACATGATGCAATTTGTGATGACACAGGGTACTGCAAGCAGGACAAAGGTGATGATGCAAAGGAAAAGGCATTTCAGTAGAAAACACTGGAAGTGGATGTATGCCTTTACTAGATTGGTTCATCTTGAAATGTTCACATTTACAGGGAGGCCTACTTCTACTCTATGGCTAAACAGCAGGAGCAGCAAATATCACTTGCCAGCTGTTTGGACCAGTCACAATTGGTGGCAAAGGATATAAAGGGGCAGTTCTGGCTCATGGGTATCTTAGATCCGAAACTGTTTCTTAACAGGGCAGTCAGAGAGCCTTTTCCTTGTCTATGGATGTGAACTGACTGATCAAAGAGGAGTGTGATGAGTGGGAGTTAAATAACCACAAGGTTTGATGGCAAATCCATTTGACCCTTGCCTCTGGAAATGAGGCACTCAGAATAACAAGTGAGGAAGGGCTGGGGTGCATACTCCTTGCTGGGCAAGGACCTGGGCTACACACAGCCTCTTCTCCAGGGAAGATCTGTTACAGTGAGGCTACAGGAGCAGGGAAAGAAGTAGGAATCGCCTGTGTCAGGCAGGCTTCGCTGCTAGTTAAGCCTTACTGTGGCTTGGGATGCAGTTGCTTATAAATTCAAGGCCAGGCTGGATGAGGCTTGGAGCAACCTGCTCTAGTGGAAGGTGTCCCTGCCCATGGCAGGGGCTTGAAACTGGATGATCTTAAGGTCCCTTCCAGCACAAACCATTCTATGATTCCAGTAAAAGGCTTGTAGCTTTTCTGCATGGTCATGCTGAGCCAGTTCATGCAATTGAACTTTACTGACAAAGTTTCCTGCCTTAGGTAACAGTGCTGCAATTCTGGCTTCTTTTTTTCATCCCAGTCAGGAGTGATGTCTTACACGATGACCTTGGAAACGTCGGCATGGTTCAGCATCAGAGCCACTCCCTCCAGCTTGTTGTTTCAGCTGATGTCAGCCTGTTGCTCAACCTGCACCTCCTGACTTCAGAAATGCTTTGTAAGAGAACTCATTGCAGACATTTCCTTTCTGGGCTTGCTTTAACATCTTCAAATTAGGCACAGGGTTTATAGCCCATGCGGTTTTGGGTACATATACCTTGGCCGTGCAGGTGTGAGGAAGCATCCTCTGCTTTCAGGAAGGGTGTTTTCTAGCTCTCAAGCATAAACCATATACTGTGGGGTATATGGTATATATAGCTCTCACGGATCTGGCTGTGTTATTTGAAACAATTCACTTCTTATTCCTCTCTCCTTCTGCTTCTCATTGCTATGGAGCTGGGCCACCACCCCGCAGCCCCAGCATGGAGGCATAACCTGAAGGCTTGAGCTGATCAAACAACCTGCTGTTCTCCCACCCTGTACCCAAGTCTGGAGCCTGTTAGATCAAGCCATGATCAAAGCCAAGCCTAGAAACTGACCAAAAATGGTTGGTTTTCACTCTTCTCCTCCTTCTTCATGAACTGAGTTGGCCTAGAGAGACACTGATGAGCACTGAAGCTAGTGTGAGGTAAGCAGGGCGGCTGGAGACAGGGAAAAGAGGCAAATAATGTGTGTGTAGGTCTCTGTGTGTGTGAGGATTGCAGTCACCCCTTTCTGACAGCCTTAAGCTGTGTGAATGTTTCAGCTGCATGCTGTAGCTTTACTCCAAGCTTACTCCTTTCCTTCACAGTGGCTTCTAGAATGAACCAAGAGCACTGAACAGAAAGCAGGGAGTTCAGCCTGTGCTAAACAAGTGTGGAGGGGAAATCTTGTGTTTCTCTTGTTGTGCTGGAAAGTTCCTGATTTGAGTGGTTTCAGTCTTGGTCATCACTGCCTATTTAGACAGGTTTGGGGCAGTGTGGCCATGCATGACTGAGCAAGCCTGCTCATAACATAGAGCAACTGAGTGGAAGAACTGATTCCTTAGACAGAGCATTCCTCTGGTTGTCTTGAACCTAAAATGGAGCTGGCTGCTATCCTAGAAAAATCTGGGAGTGCTGCAGACTGTCATCTTTTGCTACTGATAATAGCAGCTTTTAGCAGAAGAATCTTTCCAGCTGACCAAAGCCATAGGGCAGCATTAGCACATGGCCAAGGTTTAAGAGGCCAGTGGTTTAGGGGTTCTTCCTGTTTCAGCAGAGCATCTGCTATGGTCTGAAATAGCAAGATGTGATTAAGGCATTTATATACCTCTCTCTATAGCATACATACTCCTATAGTTGTCCTTCTGTGTTATCTGGCTGCCTGCATGGAGTGGGTGGTGTGTTCTGTAACTGCTTTACTGGTTGGTGGAATGCTGTTATCTGTGGGCATGGCCCAACATCTGCTGAGTTGAAGACAACTTATACACGGTCTTCATATCTGATCCTATGTGTTAATACCAAGGTCAGGTCTTGCCCCTACTGACCATCTTCCACATGTATTTCTCTCTGTCCATTTTCATTGCTCCACAGGCAGCACATGTAGGAGCAGATGCAGCACCAGCATGAATTTGACCCTGCTGCCAAAATTCACCCTGCTGCCAAGGGGTTGGATGTGGCTTAGGAAGAAACTACACCCAGCAGGAAAGGTGTGTGTCTGCGTGTGTGGAGCCTGTGGAGTTGTGGCTGCATCTCAGCTGCATAAACCACATGGGTGTCTTTGCACCACAGCAGGAATCAGCTTTTCCCACAGACACTTAGAAGACTCCCTCTGCTTTCAACCTCACCAACCTATGCTTTGTGTCTGTAGAGAACAAGCCTCTGGTTCTTCTAAGCCACTAAAATAATCTAATCTCTTTGCTTCCTCTAAACAAGCCATGAAATAAATTCCTGGAGAGACCTGTTCAACAGCAGCAGGGTGAGGTGCCCTCCCCATCAGCATGTCCTGCCTGAGAGAGATCATGCCATGGGCCACTGCTTGTTTTTCTGGTGGAGCTGGTGCTTTATTGGGCTGGTGCATGTTCCTTAAGCTGGTGTTTGTTCTTTAAGCTGGTGTTTAACTGCCAGTTCCACGTAAAAGCTTGTTTCTTCTCATCATGCTTGAAAGCGTTTGCCTGCCTGCCCCTTTTTGAGTGGCTAAATATAATAGCAACCACCACCTACTCTGGAAGGCATAATGCTGTAGAATGTCTGTTCCAACTTGATGCTGCACAAACTGCCAAAATGGCATCTTGGGGATGAGCAATAATCACACATATGAGCATGCAATGGCAGATGGAGAACCTGGTTTCTAGACACAACCATGGGATAGGGAAGCTTTGAAAGCTCCATGGTTCCATCTCAAATATTCTGTATTGCTGCTTTACTTCCCCCACCAATCCCTGTCTTCTTGCTGCCCAAGTGCAGGGCCACCACTTATTCTTGCTTGATAACCCTACAATGTGCTGTGGCATTGTGCTGGGAGCCTGTGGGATAGAGGGGATAGATATCTGTTTGAAGCTTGTCCAAGGAGGTGATCCCTGCCCCTCCACTCTCTTCTCATGAGACCCCACTTGCAGCCCTGTGTGCGGTTCTGGTGTCTTCAACATATGAAGGACATGGAGCTGTTGGAGCAAGTTCAGAAGAGGCCACAAGGATGCTCAGGGGCTGGAGCAGCTCCTGTGTGGAGCCAGGCTGAGAACATTGGGGCTGTTCAGCCTGGAGAAGAGAAGGCTGTGTGGAGAACTCAGAGCAGCTTCCAGTGTCTGAAGGGGGCTACAAGGATGCTGGGGAGGGACTCTTCATTAGGGACTGGAGTGATAGGACAAGGGGTGATGGGTCCAAACTGCAACAGGGGAATTTCAGGTTGCAGATAAGGCAGAAGCTCTTCCCTGTGAGGGTGCTGGGGTGCTGGCACAGGGTGCCCAGAGAAGCTGTGGCTGCCCCATCCCTGGCAGTGTTCAAGTCCAGGTGGGACACAGGGGCTTGGAGCAAGCTGCTCTAGTGGAAGGTGTCCCTGCCCATAGCAGGGGGTTGGAACTGGGTGATCTTAAGGTCCCTTCCAACCCAACCCATTCCATGATTCTATGAAAAATTACATTTTGGCTGTGCATCCTGCTTGGAATGAAGCTGCCCAGTCATTCATGAAGGCTTGAACACCTACCAGTGTTTTGCAGGGGAATTCATGATAGCAAGGAGGTGATTTGTGGTGTATTGAGAAACTTCCCTGCAGTTGTTGACTTTAGCTGGGTGGTTCTGTTTGCAAGCACTGGGGTTTTTCCCAGCTTTTTAATATCTGTGGAAAAAAATAAGTACAACAGAAACAGGGAATGGGAATAATGCCACCCCCTTGTTTTTAAGACTCTAAATCTGAGAGGGGAAGGAAACGGGTCACACTACAAGAGGCTGATGACAGTATAGCAAAGGCTGTGGATTGTGGAATGTCAATGCTGAACTAACTGTGGCTTTTGCAGCTTAACAAAGCTGTCTTGTGAAAGCTATGGTATGTTCACCTAGTGCACAGCTGCCACTGGATCAGAGCTTGCAATCACAGAGAGTAGAGTTAGGCTTGAAATTGGATTAAATGGGGCTGATACATGCTAGTAAATTCACCAAGTTCTCCTTCTGGCCACACCAGGGAAATGGAGTTACTGTATTAACATGGTTCTTTCTCACTCTCGCCTCTAAGAACATTTTTAGAGGCATGTTAAAGAAGAAAACTTGAATTCAAAGTGTATCCTGAACAAATCATCTCCTGCAGCACCTCATTCAGACACACTGTGTGTAAAATGTTTCTGAGAGAACTGGAACACAGCTGAGAAACTGTCTGTCTAAAATGAGTTCTATTTTACTTCTCTGCAAACCCCTGCAATACAGACCCTTAGAGCTGATTGTGTCTTTAGGGCTTACTTCTTTGAGCAAAACAGCTCAGTGTTCTAAACATGTTTCTTAGAGTAACTTCAAGTATCCTTTGTCTTTCCTAGGACTGTGTTTCCAGGAACCAGCAGTTCTGCGTGACCCAGGCATTTGTATTCTGTGCTGTAACTACCCAGTGCAAACCTATTGCCTAAACCCTGCATTTCCCTCATCTAGAAATCCAGGCACTGAAATGACTATAAAATGTTTTGCCCCAGGAGCTAGAGGGGGAATTTGCAGTTAATTGTGGTTCCATTTTCTGGGTATCTTAAAGCACAAGTGGAACCCAGATGTTTTTAACAAACTGGCTTTGGAAGCTCACAGTTGAGATCAGTGTCAAGTTTCCAGACACATGACCAACCTCACAGCCAAGTTTAGGGTTGCTTTTGTGTTTACATAAAAGTCTGTGAGCTGAATTACACTGCGGTTTGTGGGTGGAATGGGAGGTCTCCATAGCAAATATTTGACTGGATGTGCAGTTTATCTCATTTACAGGACTTTGAGCTTTGCAAAAAGGTTACTATATATTTGTTGGTATACTACTCGAGGCACATCCAGCTTTCTCTTGCTCACTGGAACAGTTGCTGTTTAACTCAGATCTGTTATTATTCCAAGCATAAAACTAGCAATGGCAAAACCCAAGTGTTTTAAAGCTCGAGGAGAACCATTTCTACAAATGATAAATAAAACTTAGTGCATTCCTGAGCATTGCCCAACTGCAGCAAGCTCTCTCTGCTCATGTCAAGGGAACCCTCTTGTTAAAGGTCCAGCTGGCTGCCTAAGTCACATTCTAAGTTTTAGTTCAAGGATGATCTCAGCAAAAATCCAGCTTCTATTTTTCATAGAATCAGACTCAATGAGGTTGGAAAAGAGCTTGAAGATCATCAGGTCCAAGCTCAGAATTTACTTTGGGCAAATACTGTTCAGTATTTGTTTTATAGTCATGTTTTCAGTTCACAGTAAGATCACTGCTGTCATTTGGAAAGATAGGCACAGGTAGAATGATACTAAAGTGAGTGTAAGAGTCATGGAAACTTTCCCTTTTTTAATAGCATACCCTACACTGTACCCACGTAAGATGCTCTGCTACATGGTGCTGTGCATGGCCCTGTCTATGGAAACTCACTGTAACCACGTCTTCACCTCTTAAACCCCAGTCCAGGCTCCCAAACTACTTAAACTTGGCTGAGGCAGGGACTCTCACAGACAGACAGATGGATGCATACAACATATCAAGGGAGGGGATTCTCCCCCTCTACTCTACTCTCTGAGACCCCACCTGGAGTACTGCATGCAGCTTTGGGGGCAACAACACAAGTGCGACTTGGAGCTCTCGGAGCAAGTCTAGAGAAGGCCATGGAAGTGCTGCGAGGGCTGGAGCAGCTCTGCTCTGGAGCCAGGCTGAGAGAGCTGGGCTGGGTCAGCCTGGACAAGAGAAGGCTCCTGAAGGGGAGACCTTAGAGCAGCTCCAGTGCCTAAAGGGGCTGCAGGAAACCTGGAGAGGGGCTTGGGACAAGGGCCTGCAGGGACAGAACAAGGGGAATGGCTTGAACCTGCCAGAGTGGTGAGTGAAATGTGCTCTTAGGCAGAAGCTCTTCCCTGGGAGGGTGCTGAGGCACTGGCACAGGGTACCCAGAGAAGCTGTGGCTGCCCCATCCCTGGCAGTGTTCAAGGTCAAGTTGGACACAGGGGCTTGGAACAAGCTGCTCCAGTGGAAGGTGTCCCTACCTGTGGCAGGGGGTTGGGACTTGATGAGCTTTAAGGTCCCTTCCAACACAAACCAGTCTGGGATTCTGATAAACACACACATGATGCATGCTACTCTGCTGAGATGCTCTGAGGTGTGTACAAGCAGAATCTTGGTGGATTTTTCTGCATCTAGGTATACCTTGTCCACTACCCACTGGTTCCCTGACTTAATCATCTTTTTTATATAGATGGAAACATTCATCAGAGAAGCTCTGATGATTTTTTGCACATTCCAGCTGTCCTCTCCAGCTGTCCTGTGAGGAAGCTAAGCATTACTGTCCCTAAATTGGCTGGTGTTGGGGTCTGTGCTCTGTAAGTTGTAAACAAGAGAGCTTGCTCCATTGTCTCTAATGGGATCTTGTCCAAGGGAAAACAGAGATTGTCTTCAACAATTTGAAGCTTGTGTAGGCAGACAATATGCTGACTTTTGCCTGTGGGTAACATGAAGGATGCTTCTACTTCAAACCAAGCAGCTGAGAGCCAACATGAGTTCAAAGCACTGCTGTGTGTGCAGCTGAGAGGATGGATCAGTCCCTGGGCAGCTGTGAGCTGGTATGTGAAAGTGTACTGAAAGAAGAATTTGAATCCAGGCTCTGGCAATTCAAATTCTTCTATTCAAATTCTTCAAATTCAAGTCTATTGGATTTCAATGAGAAAGGCCTGGATCTTCCCTCTAATTCCAATAGTTTAATAAGTAACAGTCAGGCATGCAATTAACTATTACCTACTGAAAATAACATGATAGAAAGTAGTGTGTGAAGTGTTACAAGGTGCAACAAATGAGCTTTGCCATTAATGTGAATGTCATTTGACGTGCTGTTCAGCCCGAGTGTGGTAATGCTGTTAGCAGCCTTCTTCCCAAGAATGCTTATAAAGGCATGAAAAGCATGAGATAAAAGGTGGCTTAAACCAAAGCATAAGAAAACAGCATGAAATAAAGTAAAAATTAAAGCACAGTGTGACAGTAGTTTGAGAGAGTGAGTTGCACAGTTGACAGAAAAGGTCTGGCTATGGCTGAACATAAACTCTTGTAAGACCAGCACACTGGGAGCTCTTCACTTCGGTCACAAAGATACCATGACACATGGCTGCACAACCCAGTGTTTCCTCTTCTCGTCACATAAATCTGCTGTCATCAAAGATAATGTGCATTGTGCAACTTGCAGCTGATCCAGAAAGCAGAATATAGGACTTCCCTAATCTTACTGACATTGAATCACGGGTGGCACAGGCTGTCCAAGCTACAGAGGAAATACATCCCTATTATTAATGCAATTTCTGTTCTTTTGCTTACAAACTGTGCCATTGCACAGCCTTGTCATAAAACAACTTGTAGGTTCAAGGTTAGTCTTTCTGGAATACTGAGATGTACTCTGCAGTGAACCACCAGTATCACAGAATCAACGAGGATGGAAAAACCTTTAAGATCATCAAGTTCAACTGTTATCTCAGGATTGCAGAGGCCACCACTCAACCATGTCAATAAGGCCCTTGTCTACATGGTTTAACACTTCCATGGACAGTGATTCCACCACTACCCTGGCAGCCTGTTCCAATGCCTGACCACCCTTTCGGGAAGGAATTGTTCCTAATCTCCAGTCTCAACCTCCCCTGGTGCAGCTTGAAGCCGTTTCCTCTTGTCCCATCTCTTGTTCCTTGGGAGCAGAGCCCAGCCCCTCCTGGCTCCATCCTCCTGTCAGGCAGTTGGAGGCAGCCATCAGGTCCCCCCTGAGCCTCCTCTTCTCCAGACTGAACCCCCCAGGTCCCTCAGCCCTTCCCCATCACACTTGGGCTCCAGGCCCTGCACCAGCCCCATTGCCCTTCTCTGGCCCCGCTCCCGCACCTCAAGGTCTCTTTTGTAGTGAGGGGCCCAGAACTGAGCACAGGATTCGAGGTGCAGCCTCACCAGTGCGCAGCACAGGGGCACAATCCCTGCCCTGGCCCTGCTGCCGCACTGGTGCTGGTGCAGGCCAAGATGCTGGGGGCTTCTTGGCTGCCTGGGCACAAGCTGCTCATGTTCAGCTCCATTAGTCAGCACCCCCAAGTCCTTTTTTCATGGGCAGCTTTCCAGCCACTCTTCCCCCAGCCTGTGTGTATGTATATACACACACATATATATATACAAATACATATATAAATAATGTCAGGTTAAGCAAGAGTCTGTGCTTCAGGAGTACAACTCCAAGCTTCTGGCAAGCCTTTTCAGCCAAACACAAGGTTGGTTTGAAGTACCTGCAAGCTGGCAGAAATACTATGGTATGAAAACAGTAATGTAAGTCCACCCAGCCTTTTTATCTTTACATAAGCATTTGTGTGGGAGGAGAACAGGAGATTTCAAATGTAGTTGGCAGCCTGAAGCGATAGGTATGCCGCAAGTTAACATATAGATCTTAATTACTTCTGATGGTTAACTGACAGAAGCAACTGAAAACAGGAAGGCGAACGAAACCATTGCCTGCTGGTTACTTCAGGCGTTCAGAGAACCTTGAGAAGTGCTGTTATGCTGGCACAAGCCTTGTGCTGCCCTTCACACGCAGACAGACGCCTGTGCAGTCACGCATAGGACACCATGCACTGCCGGGAAGGTTCAAACACTCATAATACCTTCAAGGAGGAACTGGTTACAGGAAACTCGATTTAATCCAAGTGTACAGGCTCAGTAACTTGTAGTATTTCAACATGAACGTTGGCTTAGCAAAAGCCAAAACTTTGTGACCCTGATGTTATGCGATAACCTTGGTTTAAGTAGGATGTTTCTAGCTCTTAAGGTTCCACTTACAGAATCATAGAATCAACTAGGTTGGAAAAGACTTTTAAGATCATTAAGTCCAACCATTGCCCCAGGACTCCCAAATTCAAATAATCTACTTGAAACTTCAGAAAGGAAAATAATCCAGTGTTTATTGAAAATAAACCACACAAACTCGAGTGCCTGCGGTGGTAATAAAAGTGGCTGAAATAATCATTATCAGAAGGTTCATTTTTTTTTCCATTTGACCTTTCTCAATTACTTCTTTATTTGGTTACTCGGTTGTTCAGCCTGGAGAAGAGAAGGCTCCTTAAGGGGAGACCTTAGAGCAGCTCCCAGTGCTGAAAGGGGCTACAGGAAACCTGGAGAGGGGCTTTGGACAAGGCCCTGCAGGGACAGGCCAAGGGGAATGGCTTGAACCTGCCCGAGGGGAGACTGAGATGAGCTCTTAGGCAGAAGCTCTTCCCTGTGAGGGTGCTGAGGCGCTGCCACAGGGTACCCAGAGAAGCTGTGGCTGCCCCATCCCTGGCAGTGCTCAAGGGCAGGTTGAACACAGGGGCTTGGAGCAAGCTGCTCTAGTGGAAGGGGTTTCAGCTAGATGAGCTTTAAGGTCCCTTCCAACCCAAACCACTCTGATGACGTATGGCATTGTTTGAACTCCCTACAACCTTCTATGCCAAACCTCCCCATCAGGCCAACACCTGAAGGCAAGAAACGCTGCTTTCCCACCAGCCTCTGTGCCTGCAGCGGTGCTCACGTCCACGGCATTCCTCCCAGGGCCTCCAGCCAAGCCCACACAACACGGCCGCAGGGCACACCTGCGGCCTGCTCCCTCGGGGGGGGCCGAGCCCCGCGCTCTGCCGCACAGACACCCCGGGCCTCCCCGTTTAGGCCGAGACGGGGGCCGGAGGCCGCGGTGCCGGGCGCTGAAGGTGCTGAGTCACGCTAGGCCAGCAGGAGAGAAGCGGGAGGGCGGAGCGTGGCCGTACGCGATGACGTCAGCGCCGGTATAAAAGCGTCATCGCGGCGCTAGAGGCCCTCAGAGCTCGTCGGCGAGGCAGAGCGGAGCGGGTTCCTGCTTCAACAGTGCTTGGACGGAACCGGCCGCGCTCGGGCCCGCCGCCACCGCTGACCGCCTTCATCGGCCCGCCGGACTTCACCGACACACACCCCACCGAAAGGCAGCGCCATGGCAGCTCCCCCTTCTCAGGTGCGTCAGAACTACCACCAGGACTGCGAAGCCGCTATCAACCGCCAGATCAACCTGGAGCTCTACGCCTCCTATGTGTACCTCAGCATGGTGAGTGGATCGGCCGAGAGGAGCTCAGCCGGCGTGGGATTAAGCGGAGGGGGAGGTTAATGGGAAGAGGGGGGCTTCGGGCCTACTTGAGGGCCTCTGGTAGCCGTGCGGGGGGCTTAGGCCAGGCCCGGTGCGGCTCCTCCCCAGAGGGACCGAGCCCGCCTTGTGCTTAGGCCCTGTTGGGGCGGGGGGAGAAGCATCAGAACTTCAGTGCGAGGCCTCCCTGGGGAAGGGGGTGAATGTGAGGGAAGGGATAAAGGCCGTGGCTGTGGGCCTGCAGACCCCCGCCGCTGCGCGTTCTACACCAGGGTGCAGCCTGGGGTCCCGCACGGTGCCCCGGTTGGGGAGCGGGGTTGCGAGTGCCGGGTGATGCCTGCGGGCGCAGCCACGCTCCTCCTCCCCCCCCCCCCCATCGCCTGAGGGGCGTTCTCAGCCTTCCCTGGGGGTGGGGCGGCCGCTTGTTTCCTATAGGTGAGGCCTTTATCTCGGTGCCGGGCTGCAGTTACACGTTAACCGAGTTCCGTCCGTTGCCCTTGGCGGACTCGTTATCAGCACGGCACAGCTCAGCAGCTTCCAAGCGGCGCTGCCCTTGGGGCTGGGCTGGATAGCAGGAGTTGAGTAACGAAGCGATTGGCACCTTTCCCATAGGCGTTCTTGTCTCTTGAGGCGAGGTTTTTCATAGTCCGTAGTTTCTTGAAATGAATTAGTAGGAATCCGGGGATTCCTTAGCGCCGTGCTCGCATGCTTCACATGGTGCGAGGTTCTCCGTTTAGCCATGGTAGTGATGAGCAACTTTGGTGCAACCAGCAGCTGTGACCTCTGTGCAGCAATCCTGGTGCTTTAGATGTTTAGGTAATTTGAGACTTTATGGTGATATGGTAGTATGTTGTGGCCTGGAGTTGTAGGACTTCACAGCTTGATTTTCTGTCACCATGAAGGTCTGAACCTCATGAATTGAATGTAATTATGTTGTTGGATGATAGTGGTACACAAGCACCAGTGTGTTTCCTCCAACCTCCCAGGCAAGCTTCTGGTTTAAAAGCAGAGATTTCTGCAGCAGCTTGATTAAATAACTGGCATCTGATACAAAGCTTTTGATTGAACCCTGCCTAATGGCTCTGACCAAAGAACAAACAAGCAGTGTGATGTCTTCTAAGTGCTGTTACAGGTTTTGCTTTAAAAAGAAAAAGCAGTCTTGTACTTGCTGTTGAATATATATTTTAGTTCCTTTTGACTTTTAGATGTTTGTTTTTCCCCAAAAAAAGGAATTGTCCTTCATAATTTAATCCCTGATAAGCCTGGGGAGCCACAGGAGTTTTATTGCAAAATTACCTTGAACTTGGTCACCTGTATCTGGTATTGCAGGTCAGAGCATCAACTTGTGATCATTGTAAACAAACTCGGGCAAACAAAAGGAGCAGGAACATTCTTCCTCCTTGAAAACGGCTTTTCAAGTCTGCTATATCTAAGGCATTTGAGTGATGCTCAGAACAGTAATCTATGGGGTGCGAGTTCTTTTTGTATCTTCAGAACTGAACCAGCAATAACATTTATTTGTTCATGGTAGGCATACAAGTTAAGATTTAATTCTGGTCAGGAGAATGTGAGTTCCCCTAAGGGAAGAGTTTTGCCAGGCTGCCTTGATGTCAGTGCTGCTGCTGGCCTTGGACTCCAGCCACCCTGAAAGCAGGGCTGATAGGGGACAGATCTGAAGCTGTAGTATGGATTTGACTTTGTGTGGCTGCTGGAGTGAGGCCTGGGGGCGTGACTGTATGAATTCTTATTTTTCAGTCCTACTACTTCGACCGGGATGATGTGGCTCTGAAAAACTTTGCCAAGTATTTCCTGCATCAGTCCCACGAGGAGCGTGAGCATGCTGAGAAACTGATGAAGCTGCAGAACCAGAGGGGCGGGCGCATCTTCTTGCAGGACATCAAGGTAAGGAGTGGAGCTATGGGTTGTCCTATCTAATGCAGAACTAGGCTTGTGGCCTGCCTCCATGCCGGAAGGGGATTAATGTCCCTGTGAGCCCTGAAGCAGCTGACTGTACCTAAACACACTGCATTGCTGTGATCTGTGTGGCACTCAGCCCAAAATCTAGAGATGGGTAGTAAATTGATAATTGGCTGACTGGCCAATAAAAGGTACTTGTGTAAGAAGAGAATAGCTGGCCCTAGGTGGTTTGCTGTGGGCTGAGGATAACTAGAACACACAGCTGGTTCACCTACCTTAGATTTAGTGGTGTTAGCTATGCTCGTTTTGTAGAGAGCTCAACTGCCTTGTCACAGGAACATAAAATGTCAAGTTTGCCATTGCTTCTTAAGCTCACTGCAAGGTTTTGTGAAGTTACTTTAATGAGATAATTTGGAACAGCAGAAAGCAGGCAGTGTTGTAAAGCCTGTTTAATGTAACATAACTCTTCATGGGGGAAACAGCAAACAAAGCGAGTGATAGGCTTGTGAGAAGGATTCCCTTGCTTTACTAGTAAGTGAGTGCTTGGAAACACCAGACTCTACTAGGCAGTTCTGAGTTGAAAGTTAGACTTGCCTGCCCTGGTGTCTTAACTGCTTTGTTTCTGGGACTGTGGCTGCTGGCTAGTTACGTAGGCAGATGTTTAAACCATTAGGCTTTAACAGGAGGAGGAAAGCGGTAGCTCTCTTAGCTGTCTTGCCTACAAGAAGAGAACCTGGGGAATGGGAACAGGTCTGGGACATGCAGTCCTGTTCTGAGTGTGCACTGTGTGCCTGCCAAATGTTTGAAGATGCCTAAATGCCTGAACTTGCTCTAAACAGGCTTTGAGACTGATTTGAAAGACTTTCCTCCCTACTGGTCTGTGGGTACTTAAGAGAAATTATGGTCATGTGCTTTCCCCTTCTAGAAGCCAGATCGTGATGACTGGGAGAATGGACTGACTGCAATGGAATGTGCCCTGCACCTGGAGAAGAATGTGAACCAGTCACTGTTGGAGCTGCACAAACTGGCAACTGAAAAGAATGATCCACATGTAAGTGGATGCTGAAGCTGAGAATGGAGCTCTGTAATTGTCTGATAGTGTGGGAATGGGGGCAAGTTTTGTGTCCCTGATGTTACTGAAGATGGAAAAAGTATGTGAACTGGTGGTATAGCCTTTCCAAAAGGAAATGCTGAGGTGTTGGCTTGTACCTTAACCATTTGGTGTAGGATTGTTGCCATCTCCTTCCAGGAGGACTACTTGCAGTGTGTTAGGGTGCCTGAGGCCCACCTTACAGAACAGTGGGTGCATGGCTTTGTGCAAGCCCCTCTGTTGCTCTCAGAACAGAGAGCTCTTTATGAACAGCATCTTGAAGAGGAGAAATATATAAATCTCTACAAAAAAAGTCTTGCTTTTGTAGGGGATGAGTTCTGGCTTTAAACCAGTAGATGCCTGTAAAGGCTTTCTGTCACAAGGCTTTTTTGTCATCAAATTTTGGAGCTGCTTCTTCCAAATGTTAAAAGCCCTGACACTTCAGAACACAGTGCCTGAAAACACAGCTTTCTTCACACATTACAGTTACTGGCAAGGCTGGATTGAGACTTCTTAGTATCAGGAAGGGATTGTCATAGTACTCTTAGGAGTGTCCTGCCTAAGTTTTTAGGGACTTTTCTAAAAGAAATAACATAGGGGAGCCATTCTACCTATGTAAATCCTCATGTGATGAATTCAGGTGCTGTGCAGTGGGGGTTTCTAAATCTGTTTAGTAACTTTGCTATTGCTTCCCATGGAGAGGCTTCCTGAGCTGATGTACTGCAGAGTTCTGGAGCAAGTGTGCTAGCTAAGCCTGCTTTGGTTTGGCCTTGTTCTGATACTGCAAAGGCACATCACAGTGCAAAGTGAGCTTTTAAATTCTCACTTCTGTGTCTGTAGAGAGGATGGGTAGGGTTTCAGATGCTGCTGCAGCAGGATAAGCTGTTCCCAGGCCTAAATTTCAACTCTTTTTCTCTCCTTTCAGTTGTGTGACTTCATTGAGACTCATTACCTGGATGAGCAGGTCAAAGCCATCAAGGAGCTGGGTGACCATGTGACCAATCTGAGGAAGATGGGGGCACCAAAGTATGGCATGGCGGAGTACCTCTTTGACAAGCACACCCTTGGGGACAGCGACCATGACAGTTGAAGTCATGCCAAGAGCCACCCTCTGGGTTTCAGTGGGACTCCTACTTCACTGTCCAGCCATGCATGCATTTCCAGCTATCTAGATAAACAGTTCTTATACTCTGTACCAAATATCACCCCTCTTTTCTCTTGTGTTTTGTGTATCGCCCTCCATCCAATAAAGTGACTTGGTTCAAGTTGGAATTTGCTGTTTCTCTTGGTAGCAAGAGGCCTGCACTCATGGGATTGTGCTCTGTAGTTTCTTTTGTGACGGTTGACTTAAGCTGGTCATAAAGGAATCAGAATCATAGAACAGTTAAGGCTGGGAAGGACCTTATCGTCTAGTTTAACTCCCTGCCACAGGCAGGGATGCCTCACCCTAGGCCATATCACCCAAAGCTCTGTCTAACCTGGTCTTGAATACTGCCAGGGATGGAGCATGAGTGGAATAATATATTCCTTCCTACTTACTCTCTTCTTATTAGAGGGATCGGGTTTTACTTGCTTACAAGGGTGATGAATGTGATTTAAATCCTTTATTCAAAGCTGTTGCCATAAAGCACAAGGAAAGGAAAGCTTGAAAATCTGGGCTTCCTGAGCTTTTGTCCCTGTGAATTTAGATGAAATAACTGAAGGGGGGAGGAGGGTGTTGGAGCCTCACTTGGCATTGTGCCTGCCTAACAAATGGCGCTATGCTTCAGAGTGGAGAAAACGTCCTGTGAATCCAGATTTGAGCTGTGTGCTGGCACCAGGCTGAACTGGAACAGCAGTGTTGGAGGAACTGCCTTGCTGACACCATCAGCAGTTGCAGCTGCTGGTGGTGTTTGCCAGGGTCTGGCAGTACTGGGAAGGCAGTGAGTGGGCAGCTGTTGGGGAGGGATGTGGGAAGTGAGTTTGTCACATGGCCCCTGTGAAATGGGGTGCTTTCAGCTGTTTCTGAAGACAGAAGTAGAAAAACTTTCATTTTTCTATTCTTAACTCCTATTGTTGCATGGAAACTAAAATGAGGAAATGAAGCAGATGGTCCTGGTCTTCAGCCTTGCTTTTATTTTGTTAAGGAGGACAGTAAAACCCCAAAGCTCTATGGTTTCTGCTGCCATCCAAACAACTTATTCTCTGAGCATTGTCAAATCAGTGGCAGATGTGATGTGGAAAAGGAAGCAATGTGTAGGGGAAATCCCATTGCCTGCAGCCACCTGGTCTGGTAGACACTTGCCTTGCCTTGTTCCATTACTTTTCCAGAACTGGAAAACACTGCTGGGAATGACATCGAGGCCCTTTGAGTCTGCATCACAAATGGTGAGTCTTGCTTCAGTCCATTTCCCTGGAGTATCTTGTCAGTAGTGCAAGTCATGCCTGAGACTTGTAATGGGTGTTGTGACGCACTGACATAAAGCTCACATTCCAATTCGTGCTGTGGTGAGGAGGGGGAGATGTCCTTATTAATGTCCTTCTGTTTTGGGTGACACTTGCACTCCAAGTTCTTCAGGCTGGTACCTGCTGAGATACTGCTCTGCTGTTGTGTATCTGCAGTACTTCGCACTCAAAGGTCTTTTGCTACAGATGTAGAGGGGTTTTTGGTGGTTTTATTGGTGCAGCACTGACGTTGTGTCTGCTACTGTACCCAATGCCAGTAGCAGTGAGTCTTTAGTGCTGGCTTTAGCCTAGGCTGGGCTTTAGCTCTATGTTCCAGCAGTAGGTGGTTTGGCTGTGTTGCCCTGTTTGGGTGAGTGCCAGTGTGGCCAAGTGTAAAGATACTGCAGTATCTCAACAGAACTGTGCCTCTTGCTCTCTAGCTGTACTGGTCCATCTGCTCTTCACATGTGCTTTCACTGGTCTCCATGATCACCTCCATCAGCCCCACATAGTCACCTTCAGCTAGAGAGATGCCAGAGTCATTGGGGGATGGACTCTCAGCTCGTCTTGTCTCTTTTGTAGGGGGAGCATTCGTGCTTCCATTTCCAGTGTCTCTTGTGTTCCTGGAAACCTCTGCTGGATGCTGGTCTGGAGCACTGGCTGCATCTTCTAAACTTAGGCTGCGAGCATCAGGACCCATATTCCCCATGTGGGACCTCTGCAGCACTGGGGATGTTACAGGGGTGAAGGAGAAGCAGAAAGAGGTGCTGCTTCCAGGGGTTTTGTTATTGGGGGTGTGAAAGTGCTCAGAATTGGGAGTAGGTGATGCTGTGCTCTCCAGTGATAGCCAGGGAGGGTGGGAAGATTTCAAGCTCTTCAGGCTCTTGAAGCTACCCTGCTTCTCATAGTCTGGGGACTCTGTCAAGAAGGGGAACTTAGGGCTATCTGATGCTGTGGACTGAACTCCTGGGCTTCCTGTGGTGATACCTTCTTTGCCTTTACCGTAAGAGTTGCTCTTTTCTTCTGCTGTTACAACCAGTGAGTCAGAACCTTTGCTTCGGTCTGTTGGCCAAATAAATGTTTCCTTTGCACCCGAGCCAATGGAGCTTTGGCTTTTATACACATCACTGACTCTAGAAGGGGAGGTACTGACCACATCCCTCAGAGAAGTCGAGCATGCAGCAATGCTGGAGAGTGCAGGAGGCTTCTTGCGGCCTTGGCGTCTAGAAGGGAAAATCATAGGGATGGAGCTGATGGGTGTCTGTGGAGCGCTGTAGAAACCAGGTCTCTCGTAGAATGGGGTTGACATGAAGGCATCAAACTCTCTTAGTTTTCCATCTTCGCTGTCCCACTGTTCCTGTGAGCTGGAGTCTCTCCTTGGCTGATTGATGCCACAAGGGCTTCCAGCCTTGCCCATGTCTTGGTATGTGTAATGGGAGAAAGGGGACGTGGGTTCTCTCCGGCGCAGCAGGTTCATCCGGGAAGAGGACCTGGAGAAGCTGGGTGACTGCACACCAAGAAGCCGGCCCAGGTGCCCCAGTAATGGTGTGGAATGGTTGGCCTCCTCATTCTCTTTAATTTGCTCCAGGGGCTGGAACTCCATCTCTTCTTTCTGCATGCTGGGGAGAGGCAGAGCAGGCTGTTAGGTTGCCACAAAAAGAGATGGGTTTTGGGGGAGAGGCTGCATGCTGCTGCCAGTGGCAAGCATGTCTTTCCTGTGCTGCCACTAGATATGTGTAAGGCCCCCCACAATAGGGATGCTCATGGTAGAGGATAGTGTGGAAAAGAGGTCAGAGGCATCCTTGTAAGTGGAGGATGTTGGCTATTGTCTTTGGACAAGCCTAGAAGTCTCTTAGGGTGAGATTTCACAGACTATGGAGGAAAATACTATTGCTTGTTCTTACTCCCCTTCACGAGATCTGCTCTAAGGTGTAAATGCGGAATGTTCTGACACCCCGTGGCTGTGCTCACCTGATATCAAAAGTTGAGCCAAGGAATGATGGGCGCTTGTACTCAGCAGTGGCTGCAGTGTAGGGGGGCTGGGGATCAGGCTCATTCCAGTATAGGTCCTTCTCCAGAATGGGTAAATCCTGGTGCATCTCATCCACAGCCATAAGGGAGACCTGCAGGGGACAGCAGAAGTGTCATATGGGGTAAGCAGCGTTACACATAGAATCAGGGGATGGTTTGTGTTGGAAGGGAGCTTAAAGCCCATCCAGTTCCAACCCCTGCTACGGGCAGGGACACCTTCCACTGGAGCAGCTTGCTCCAAGCCCCTGTGTCCAACCTGGCCTTGAACACTGCCAGGGATGGGGCAGCCACAGCTTCTCTGGGCACCCTGTGCCAGCGCCTCAGCACCCTCCCAGGGAAGAGCTTCTGCCTAAGAGCTCATCTTGGTCTCCCCTCAGGCAGGTTAAAGCCATTCCCCTTGGCCTGTCCCTACAGACCCTAGTCCAAAGCCTCTCTCCATGTTTGCTGTAGCTCCTTTAGGCACAGGAGCTGCTCTAAGGTCTCCCCTTCAGGAGTCTTCTCTTCTCCTGCTGAGGGGGAACACTGAGCTGTCCCCCATAACCCTCATGTTTGTTGGGAAGCTTTACACTCTCCTGCTCTCCTTGACATCTCCGTTTGGAAATCCTAGGCCCCTTCTTAACATGCAGCCAGCTCAGGAAAGCACAAGGGCACTGCTTCTCCACCCATTGCAGGCATGGGAAGTGGATGGTGAAGGTGTTGCAGAGCTTTGCACTGACAGGGCTTGCTGAAGCCATAGGTGCACTCCTACTTTGGTGTTCCTCTGCAGGTGAGGGTCATCAGAGGTCCCTGCCTTCACTTTACCTGTAGATTCCTGTCAATGAGCCAGTTGGTTTCAAAGTCATCATCATCCTCTCCAAAAGGGTTGATGAGCTGCTCAGCCACCTGCATATGGAGAGAACATAGCAAAGGTCACCATGGTCATCCCTGCCACTTCCCCCACTGGAAGAAGGCCTGTTGGGCAGAGTCAAGCATATACCTTGAACAGAGCAATGCTGTTCCTCCCAAAAGGGATGGTTTAAAGCAGGAGGCTGTGTCCGATTCCAGCTCCAGGTGTATTTTCTTGGACTTACCTTTAACCAGCCAGCATAGAAGAAGAACTGCAGAAACGTAAAGACGGGCACAAAGAGATCTAGTTCATGGCCAGGATATGCTTTTTCTGGATCCAGGAACTGCCGCCCGATCAGACAAGCCAGGAAGAAGCTGTAAACAGCCACGGTCACCACCTGGGAAAGATGCCAGAGGAGCTTGAGTTCCCAGCCTTTCTCTTCAGTTCCACCCCACACATCTCCAAACAGCAACAAGCTGCTTCTGGATCTGTAGCTTTTTGAAAGCCTTGGATTCAGTGATCATAGAATCAGAGTGGTTTGGGTTGGAGGGGACCTTAAAGAGCACCTGCTTATGACAGGCTTCTCTGCTTTCTGTAGGAAGATGCATTTTGACTTTAAATATGCTCTTTGCCCTTTAGTCGTTATGTTGCTATGTAATATGAAATACACGTATGTAACATGAAATACACTGTATTTCATTCCATGCTGTCCCTGGAATGACATCTGTGTAGGCATCACAGAAAGAAAGCAAGTGACATCCTGGATGGAAAGAGCTGAAACGACTGACACATGGCTGCCTGGTTGTTCTGCTGCCGAGGTAAGGGGTGCTGTGAGCTCTTTTCATTCCTGTCCTTGCCTCTCCTGAAAGCTATCTCAAGCCCCTCTTGGCTCAGGCTGCGCTGCCAGGGCTGCTCCTTCCTTCCTGGCCCTCATGCTGGATGTTTTGTGTATTCACTTGCCTGAATGCCCAGATTTCACTGAGCTTTGTGCTTTTCTCTGCAATCACAGGACTGGAAACTTCCCCTTTTCAGATTAAAAGCAGCTGAGGCTTTTGCATGGTCTCTACATGCAGTGAGAAAGAGGGCTCAAAACAAAACCACCCAGCATCACGAGACTCTCGAGCTAGCCACCGAGTTCCTTGCAGGGCTGTTGGTGATGGGCAGGATAGAGAGTGCGTGGAATGACAGTGTGGATGAGCACCCATAAAAAGAACAGGTTGTGTACTGCAAAGATGTGCTATGATCTTGCTTTTTGCTCCTAATGTGCAGAACAAAGGGCTGTGCAGAAATAGTTTCCCAGCGTGTTCCCTATTTAACCTTCAGTGCCACGTGAATGGAAGCTGTTCCGATTTCACTGTGCAGTGCATTAGTGTTATCTGAGCAGCTGGATTGCATCTGACAAAGGAGCCAAAGCGTCTGTCTGGGTTGGCATCCAGGGAGCTATTAGACACCTGAGAACATGCACGCAGCGCTCACACACATGGCATGACTCCATCAGAGCTGCCGTGCCTGCTTGGAGCAGCTTTGCTTGGCAGATGCATCTCAGCTCTGCTGAGTGGGAAGAAACTGATTCAGGGATGTGATCCCTGCAGCATGGTGCAGGGAATGGGTCTGTGTGTATCTGTGGTTTCCATGCACCCATGTGGCACACATCATGGTTAGGTACTCCTGGACAGTGGGTTGTTTTAAGTTAGGGAAATAAGGGCTGGGTGTGTGTTGCTGAGGTACATATGTGAGAGCACCAACGTGTGTAGGTGATGGTCCATGTGTGGGTGAGCTATGGGTGTAAATGGGGCCGCGTGTGCAAGCAGGCAGTGGAGCAACAATATGTGATATGGTTTAGTGATGGTTTTGGCAGTCCTGGGGTAATGGCTGAATGTGATCACCTTAAGGGTCTTTTCCAACCTGTTTGATTCTATGACTCTACAATAGGTGTGGGGATCCCTTCTCACCTGAGTGTAGACCAAGGGGATGCTGATCCAGTCATACCCATAGAGTCGCCCACACTGGCTGCGCAAGGTGTTGAGCTCCTGCAGTGTGGCAAAGGAAGAGCTTGTCAGTATAGCTTTGCATTTCCTTGCTGGGGACACTGAGCATCTCCAGCCTCACTGCCCTTCATTGCTCCAGCCCATTCCCTCCTGCTCACACCTCCTCTGGAAGGTGGGGCTCAGCCTCACTCCAGCAGAGCACCAGGAGGGTCTCAGACTTGCCCTGGAGAAACTCATAGCAGAGATTACCTCCTCCCAAAACGAGCAGCCAACAGGTTAGGCAAAGAATAACTCAGGAGCATCCATTTCTCTCTCCTGACTATACAGTGAGTCTGGGTAAATAGCCCAGAGGGAGACATCTCACTCCAGGTAACAGAAAGAATGTGGCCTTCTTTGCACATGAATACCAGGCAGGATGAGCTGCTCTGGACCCTTTTTCCTCTGCAGCTGCGAAGGGGTGGCTGCCAGGTCTTGTGGAGCATGCCCACACTATCCCCCTTATCACACTAAACCCACACTATGTGGAGCATCCCAGGACTATCCAAGAGTTTTCAATAGTGAAGTTTTCCAAAGAGACCTTGTTTTGGGGGGATGTTTTTGTCCTCTCCTGGTCTCTTCCAGATACGTCCTTCCTTGTGGCTTTCCGTCTGTATCCTAGAGACCTCCAGTGTAATATCCTTAGGGGCAGGCTTGGCTCACTGTCCTACCTCACCATTCCTATTCCTTGCCTGACTCTGGAAGTCCCTGTAGCTCCACATAAGGTCCCAGGTGAGGATCCAAGATAGCTGCCTGTTGCCTGGCACTCACATTCAGGATGCCTTGGAGCAGCACGCTGTCCCGGATCCTCCCCTCATTCCTTGCCTTCACAGCCAGGTTGGAGAACCACACACACGGGATCCAAAACTTGTTGTGTGGGGAATTCAAGCTCTCAAACTTCTTGTGCTCTTCTGGTGTCATGAGGCCTGGGTGGAAAAGAGTAGATGGGAGAAGGATGACTGTAAAGGGCAGAAAGGAACAAACTGGTCTGAAAAGAAAACTTAAATCTCAGGTGGTCACCTTGGCTGTCCTTAAAAATAACAGGGAATACTCAAGCACTCAGCTTTTGGGAGACACATAGAAGAGGATGAGTCTTGTTAAAACATTCAGTTATAGAAGTGTGAGGGGCAGGCTTTATCTCATTTCATTTCAGAAGTCTACAGCACATCTGACCAGGTCACAGTCAGCAGGGAGATAAAGTACTGCTGAGGGTGCAATTGCTTGGTGTACATAGATGTTTGCTGAGAATGGGGTAACTTGTGTCCTAAAAGTGCCTGTTTCTCTCTCTGGATTGCAAAGGGAAACCAGTTGAGTAGGGTTCTAATTGACATATCCCTCTGGGGAGGGAAATGTCATATCTTGAGAAGCATCTTCAGAGAGGATTCAGGGAGCCCAGCACTTGAGGTCAGAGGCTCCAATTCCCACCTGCCCAGTGGAAAACTGTTGCCCTGAGGGAGGATGAACATTCCACTTGGTAAGCTCTGCTTGTGTACTGCTGTAGATCTGTGCACAGGGTCATTTACTACAGAGAGCTCCTCTCTTCCTGCTTCCAGAGCAGGGTGAGCAGCTCCTAGTGAAGTTGCTGCACCACGTTACCCTAATCTGACCAGCCGGGGCTACTGTGTGACCTGCAGCGTATCTACATTGACAAACAGGATCTTGGCACTCTCCTTATGTATAAAAGCTTGGGTAGAGACACTTCATATTTCAAACAAACCTTCCAGCCACTCTTAGGAGCATGCTGTGAAATAGGGAAACATCAACCCTTGATGATTTCAGTAGAGCAGAGTGAGCATCACTGCAGACATCAGCTGAGCACATTGCAGCACTATCCCACCTCCAGTCTGGAGGTCATGAAGCCCTTTCCAAGGCTCTTTGCCCCAAAACCAGCACCAAGGTGATGCTGTGTGGTGCAGAAGGCAGGAGCAGCACTGACCTGCCCTCACGACGTGCTCCATGCTGGGGAAGCGCTTGTAGACAGCGGTGCTGACTGAGCGCAGGATCAGGACACTGCACAGGTTGCTGTAGCGCATGAGGGTGCGACGCAGGAGTCGCCCGTACTCATCCTCCCCATCCACATTGCAGGAAACCAAGTTCATGATCCGGTCAGGCCATGGTATGCTCTCATACTGAGCCCACCAGCGGGACACCACCAGAGCCACGTAGAAACCTAGAGGTGAGCTGAGCACATTAGCTGTCCTGAAGGGATGGGAGATGTCAATGCTTGTGTATAGGATGTTTTGTTCTGCTCATCCAGGGGTGGATGCAGGCATGACGGTGGTGGGACACTGGCACAGGTTACCCAGAGAAGCTGTGGCTGCCCCATCCCTGACCATGTTCAATGCCAAGTTCGATGGGGCTTGGAGCAACCTGCTCTAGTGGAAGATGTCCCTGTCTGTGGCAGGGGTTGGAACTGGGTGAGCTTTAAGGTCCTTTCTAACCCAAACCATTCTCTGATTCTGTGCAATTCAGATCCCCATGCTGAAGTTAGAGTCTGGATTTCATGGTTTATTTGGTGCTACCTGGTGCCTGCCCTCCTGTCAGAGCCCAGGGCATGCCAGCACATCTGGGCAGTGCAAGCTGTGTACTGGGAGCATACCTCATAGCTGTGACATGAAATGATGCTTGGGGAGGTTTGCAAAGGCAGAGGGAGGGACCTGCTGAGTGAATCTTGCCTGCCTGCAGAACTATAGCAAACCAGGGGGAAGAAATGCTGCCTCTTTCCCCTCCATGTGTGCTCGCAGAGCTCCTTACCCAGCACAAAGGACACAGGGATTAGCTCAGCATAGCTGTTGCAGTAGAGCGCCAGCTTCTCAAACATCAGCCTTTGGCTCTCGTTCAGGATCAGCCTAAAAGGAAGAAACAGAAGCATCAGCCTCAAAGAAGAGTCTGTGCCTTGTTGGGCCTGCTGAGGTATAGGAGTCTGGCAAAGGAAGCCAAGGATGTGTACTCAGAACACTCCCATGCCATGAGAATGAGTGAACACCACTCATGAGCCCACCTCCCAGAATACCCTGCTGACCAGTCCAAAGGAGCCCAAATGGTCACTGACAGAGAGTAAGTGATGCAGGTTGATGTCACTATTTTCGTACTCAGTGCTGTGTGATACCAAGGGTTTGACACAGAGCTTGGATGTGCACTGCAGTTCACTTAATACCCCACAAAATGTGAGCTCAAGCTCTGCTCTTACATGGGTTCCTGTCTCTTTCTTAGACCCACTTCCCTGCTTCTGTGCTGCCTCTGGGATCAGCACAGAGCTCCCTCTTTCCTCACCAGATTTTCTTTTACAAGGGCCTGTAGGGACAGGCCAAGGGGAATGGCTTGAACCTGCCCGAGGGGAGACTGAGATGAGCTCTTAGGCAGAAGCTCTTCCCTGTGAGGGTGCTGAGGCGCTGGCACAGGGTGCCCAGAGAAGCTGTGGCCGCCCCATCCCTGGCAGTGTTCAAGGCCAGGTTGGACACAGGGGCTTGGAGCAAGCTGCTCTAGTGGAAGGTGTCCCTGCCCGTGGCAGGGGTTGGGACTAGATGAGCTTTAAGGTCCCTTCTAACACAAACCATTCCATGACTCCATGAAAGTCAGAGCAGCCACAGTTGCCTCATTACAGATCTGTGGTCCCAGGGCTGATGTCAGCTCTCAGAAATGTACCCAAGGCATTGCCTGTTGTGTAACAAGGGAAACTCTTGCCTAAAGCTCCTGGCTGTGGACCAGTTCAATCACGATCTCCACTGATCTACATTCCCATTCTATAGGTAACCATCAAATGCACCTCTTAATCTCAGAGAAGAGAAACTGTGTTACTTCCCAGGACAGAAAAAGGAGATTTATTATCTGCTAAGCAGCATAGGAGCCATAAGGAAGGACCTTTCCTCCTGTGCACAGAGGCTGGTGAGTGGCTGGCCAGCTCTTCTTCAGCAGCATCATTATCCCAACCCTGCACTGCTCAGTTGTCCTGCTCCAGGACAAGCTGAGAGTGATGGGTTGTGTTAGTGTTAATGTACAAGGATGCTTACCTGTAGACAAGACTGATGGTGAAGTAGAGAGAGATGAAGATAAGGAACTCTGAGTAGAGCAGTTTGTAGATACTTCCTTTCCATTGGAGCAGGAGCTGTGAGAAGGTGCCTAGGCGGGCATCAGCCACACGGTTGGTGTATGTCACTGTCATCACAGATCCTAGTGGACACAGAGTGAACAGATGATGAAGCTGCCAGCAAGCTTGCAAAGGAAGAAACAAGTTAGGACCAAAAGACAGGTAAGATAAAGTCAGTGACATAGAGAACCAGGAGGAAATTTATGGTATGTGATGGATTTGATGAGCTTGCCATCATTTTCTGTCTTTGAGCTGCATGTGAGCTGGATACAGTGATGGAGGATACACTTTCTCATGGAGCCCTTGGTTTCTAGTGTTTGATGGTCAGCATTCAAGTGGAGGTGGGAAGTTGGAGGGGACAAAGCCCACATGTAACTCCCTCCCACAGTTCCCACTCCCACAGTTTTTTTTTTAAGATTAATTCTCAGCATCACAAACTCCAAAGTTTCTTACCCCATTTATTTATTTTTCTTATAGTATTTGCTTCAAATATGTTGTTTCTGTAACTCTACTTGTTGGGGAAAAAAATGCCCCCAGGAAAACACCAAATGAATGCACAAAGTCCATAAAGGAGAGATTTCTTGGTACTGTTCCAGATGAAGGTACTCCTGGAGATCTGATAGCTTTTGTAGCTCTTGCCCAACAAGTATAGCTGCTAAATATAGGCTGAGGGCCATACCTGAACTATGCTGGTCCCATTCCCACAGGCAGAACAGCTCTCCCTGTTAGAGAGCTGAGAGATGGAGTTTAGCCACAGATTCCAGGAACTCCACCCCCCCTTTCCTTCAACCGTCCTTTGTGCAATAAATCACAGTGGATGAAAAAAGGCATTCAGGCTTGTGAAATGCTTCCCAATCCCCACTGCAGCATCCCCGTTTCACTTGTAGTTTAACTTTCGATAAATAGAATGGAGTCATAGAATCAACTAGGCTGGAAAAGAGCTTTAAGATCAAGTCCAACCATTACACCAGGAGAGTAACCAAATAGTTCTTTGTCAGCAATTAATAATCAGACCAACTAATATAAATCACCAGTTTAATCCATGCCAGGCAGGGAGGTGAATGATGCCTTGGTTTAGAAATAATTATCCAGTGTGAGACTATTGGTATTTCTGCATCTTAATAGGTTACCAGGATGTTACACAGACATTGCTGTTTAACAGAGGCAATAATGTTAATAGTTATGGAGCCTGAATGGTGGAGACAAAGAAGCACTTCAAGGGACAAACCAGACCTTACTGCTCTGTAGGAACAGTTGAAGGCAGGTGAGTTTGTGTCCACGCTCCTTGTTTAAGCATCTTAGTGAAAGACCTACACTTAGCAGGGGGAAAACTCAGGTCCCAGTGAGCTGGTGCTGTGAAATAAACCAGCAAAGCCCGTATCAAATAGCATCTTTGTCCTGGCTTTGGCTTTTTGGTGCTGCTCCTCCTTTGGGATTCCCTGTCTTAACTCCCCCCAAGTCCCCTCTCATGGTTATATCGGAAGAGTAGAGCAGGTACCTGCCCTGTTTCCATACATATTTCTGGCCAGTGCATGGGGCTTAGACCTACAGATTGCACATATGTATATGGTTAAAGAAAGCTGGCTCTTCCCTCAACACTTTGGGTCTTGGAAGTGCTCAGGGAAACTCTTCATTGCGTAAGTCAAATACAGATTCACTTTTTACCAAACATGGAAAACTTCAGCTCCTGTCCATGTAAATAATGGATGTCACTCACCTCTCTGCCATTCTGCTCCAGTATGGGATATGGGGCTTTTCCCAGTGCTTTTTCCTCCTGCTCTGAATGGTTAAGGCACTTCCCTGCCTGCCTCTGTGGGATTGCCCTGGAATGCCACTGGCACACTCAAAACACCATTTGGGGTTGAAGTACGTGATGGGATGTGACTCACTGCAGCACCAGCACTGCCACACCAGCAAGCTATGGGGGGGAAGAACCATCAAGAGCCATCCCCTATGTGGTACCAGGGAGCTGCTGCCTGCCACTGCCTGATCTGTCTGGACTAACCATTGCTCCTGAAGGTCAACTGACACTTATTAGACTATGAGAATCCTTCAACAACAAGCCTGCATCAGGTGCGTTACCCACCACATAAGACAGCAAATAGACATGAGCAGAGATGGGGAACAAGCAGACGAAGCGAGAGGAGGTCATGGATAGGCAGAAGGATAGCTCTTGAAGGAATCTACCTGCTCTCAGAAGGACAAGATACTCACAGTCATGGGCTCCTGAGCTGCACCAGAGGCTGTGGAGGTTTGGTCCCACACGTGTCCTCTCTGGGTCCTTTGTGGCCCATGCCACGTCCCGCCTCCTCGTGCCCCCTTGGCTCATGGGGGGGATTGAACCTGACAGACACGGTGTGTTAAGGAGCCTGAAACCCACTTGGGAGCTGCAGCCGGTCACTTGATGCCATAATCCTTCCTCGTTACAAAAGAGACTCTGTTGTCTTTTGCCCTGTTCCTTTCTAATCTTCTGAGTAAGCTCTGAGTGTTTATAGAGGCGGCAGGAGCAGGGGGAGGCAGGGCTGGCTGCTCCGAGCCGCTGCTGCTAACTCCTGGCACAGCCATGGGGGCTGCCAAAAGAGAGGCATTTTCCCTCTAATTCTTTCCTGTTTGGTCCCTTTCCCCAAGCCACAACCTTACAGGAGCCCCAGGAGATTAAGTAGGGATGGAATTTTCCACAAAAGCCATAAAACATGTGGCTCTTGGGGGCTGCACAGCTCTCTCTTCCTTAGGGAAGCTCCTAGCTTCTTAGGTCAGTGAAACTCCTGGTCCATGCTCTGCCTGGCTGCCAGTGGATGTATCTCTGTAGCTCCTCACTGTCCCTGGATGAGTTTGCCATCTCTTCCAGCTGTGGTTTGGATGCTGGGGACTTCTACCCTGCCACTGGCTTCCTGAGACTCTTCCCATGTGTTCACTTTGTTTTTCACTTGCTCCTCCAGCAGTGCTGGGGAGATGTCACTGCTCTTTCCTGCATGCCATCCTGGGAAACGCTGCTCCTTGCCTTTGTCCTTAAGCATCCACCAAGCCAGGGAACTCCTTGCCTCTGTCTCTGTGAGGTCTCAGTCCCTTTTCTGCTTCCAGGTTGCTGCTCTGAGCCTGAATCATAGAATGGTTTGTGTTAGAAGGAACCTTAAAGCCCATCCAGTTCCAATCCCCTGCCACGGGCAGGGACACCTTCCACTAGAGCAGCTCGCTCCAAGCCCCTGTGTCCAACCTGGCCTTGAACACTGCCAGGGATGGGGCAGCCACAGCTTCTCTGGGCACCCTGTGCCAGTGCCTCAGCACCCTCACAGGGAAGAACTTGTGCCTAAGAGCCCATCTAAAACTGTTAGCTTAAGGTAAGCCATGGCCCTGTCTCACCACCCTGTCCTGACCCCATCCCTTAGCCAGCTGTGGGACACTGTGGAGAGGGAGCACAGGTCTGATCCATGCAGGCAAGACTCAGGCTCCTTTGAGAGGCTCTGTGGGCTTTTATCACGTCTCTTTCCAGCAAGCAGGCAGCAAAGTCTCCAGTGGAATTAGATGAAGAGCTAGGTCTTGTAGCAGCCAGCTTTCCCTTGTGCTAGTCTACATGCCTGTATCTTTGACGCTTGCTTAGCATCAGCAGCAGGGATCAGTTTGTCCATACTGTAGGTTTCTCCTCTCTGTGTGGCTGAGTCTAGACAAGGGGAGGGTCTTGTTTCACTGCCTGGCATCTGTCTAACGTGGGCTTTCTGGTGCTGTCCTTGGAATTGCTGTCAGTGGTGGGGGAGACCATTGATTAAAATGTGGGACTCGGTTTTAGAGTGAGAGGAGGTCACACCAGTGACATCCAGTTTTAACTCTGCTGTAGGCTCTGGTATGTAGGGGCTCCTCTAGTCCCGATTCCTTTCTGACAAAAAGACCTATGGAGATCTGAATTCTGCTAGTCTCTGGGTAGAAGCTGCTCTGAATTGGATCCCATGATATGCAGAAGGACATGGGCACACATCTGGTGGGAGTAAGCTATCACATCTGGCCGTGCAACTGAGAGGTTGCCACGCTATGCGTTAGGAGAATGGGTATAACTGCAAGGGGGAAGGATGGCCCTGGAGCACTTGGCCTTACCAAGATCCTTCCTGCAGGAAATCTCTTCATCCCTGGATGTGCTGCAGCTCCCTGGCCCTGGAGTCCCCCTGCCATGGATGACTTGCTCTGGGTGGGTAGGATGGCAAAGCAGAAAAGGCAGCATGATGGTTATACAGCATGAGATCCAGACCCGGTACAAGAAGCATCAGCACCTCATGAGAGAGCTCAGTGCCTGAGCCCTCATCTCTACACATAGCAGGGGACAAAAATGGTTCAGGTGAGACATTTGCTGGAGCTGCTGGGAACAGTTTGGGTGTTCCTGAGGACGCCAACATGAAATGACAAAACCTCATATCTTGCTCTTTATGGCACGATGCGCTGGCATCTGGGGGACTCTGCTGCCCTCCTCTGAGAGCAGCTCAGCTGGCAGTTTGTGTGGTTCAGAGCTGCCCTGAGGACAACATAGAACCATAAAAGAGTTAGGGTTGGAAAGGACCTTAAGATCATCCAGTTCCAACCCCCCTGCCATGGACAGGGACACCTCACACTAAACCATGTCACCCAAGGCTCTGGCCAACCTGGCCTTGAACACTGTCAAAGTATTTGTGGAATTTGGAAGTGAACAATTGAGGGGCTTGGATCTCTTTTCACAGCCTCTGGGGCCTCAGTCCTTGAGGAAGATGCTGGTCTGAAAGCCTGCCTTGTGCAGAAGCAGGGGAGGAAGCAAGGAGGTGCTGACATCCCTCCTCAGCCTCACAGCCCTGGAACCATTCTCCTTTTCTCCATTTTCCAGATGAGCAGGGACGCTGGCACCAGAGGTGTCTCTCAAACTGCCATTCCACCCTGGAATCCGGTGTAAATAAAAAGAAAAGTGGGAAGTATCTGAGGAGGGGCTGTTTGGCACGGGCAGGATTTACTGAGCTTTGAGCTGGCCATGAATGTTTGAAGAGGATGCAGTGTAGTCGTTTCTTTCTTCAAGGGCTATGGGCTGTTCTAACACAAGGAGGGGATAACTTGCTGCTCTAGTGGGAGAAGCCACGTCCCTGCCAGCCTCACTGCTTTTTACAAGTGTCATTCGGGTATTTTTCCAGCTCTGTGGCTAATCTGCAGCCATCTGGTATCACTGGGCTCCCTCCTCCTGTGAGGTGGAGTTGGCATATTTGTGTATAAGCAGCCATGTGGGATGGCACGGACCAAGCTGTGGGATGCCTGGGAATCCTGGACAAACCACTCAGTACACAGACAGACTGACTGTACCTCATAGCCTTTTATTTGCCATCACTCTCTGACACATCTAGGTATGTCTTTGCCCAGGAGAGATCAGTATATGAGCATGATACCCCTCTAATGCTCTGAAGTTTCAGTGCCAAGCTCTGTATCTCCCTGCAAATCCAAGTCAGGGACCAATCAGGGGCCTGGAGGGTGATAAATCTCTCCCTTTACCTCTGATGTTCTGTAGTTCAGTTTGTAAGACATGAAAAGAAGGAAGGAGTCCTTAGTAAGGTCCCCGTTTTCTTGCCTTAGCCACCGTGGTGGGGATTAGGTTCCATTTGTGTGGGTCCTGGGTGTCACTTCTAGGGACTGCCTGCTACCTCCTTGCTGATGCTGGTGGGAAAGATGCAGGACTGAGAGGTTTCTGGCTGGATAAATCAGCCAGCAGAAGGGCAGACCCTCCTAAAGAGCGGAGGGGCAGTCCTCCTTTTGCTTTGAGCTTCCCAGCTGCAATTCTTCCTTTTCCATCTAGGGTCTTTTCCCCTGGGTTCGGGCTGAACCCTTCCTTCAAAGGACCTGCTGAGCATGAGGCTGCTCTTTGTTAGCTGTGTGCAGCCGAGGAAGAGCAGTGGGTCTGCTCAGGGCCACGATGTGGCTGCCCTTAGCAGCATCTGATGCATCTGCTCTTAGCAGCATGCATCTGAGGAATACAGGACCCCCCTGCCCTGCTCTTCTGGCTTCGTTACAAGCTGAGAATTGTGCTTTTTCCATCTTTTCTTTTCACCCTGTTTCCTGGAACAGGGGCTGCAGTTTGCTGGGGGATCAAGGCAGATCCATGAAATCGGAGATCTTAGACCCGGAGATCCCAGAGGACCTTTGCTGAAGCCCTTCCAGGCAGTGGAGCAAACACGCTGCACAGCTGAGGCAGGCAAGAGGGAGGGGAGAGAGTGGGTGGATGAAGCCTGGAGCTTTAGGCCATTTGTTTTCGTTCCCATTTTCATGGCAATAACATCCGGACTGGGTTTGTTGGGTCAGGGGTGTAGCCCTGCTTTCCAAGTTTGAGATAATCCCTGTTTCTCTTTCCCTTCCCACCCTGGGTCTGTTTTTTCCTTTATTCCTCCCTTTTTTTGTTAATGTAGTAGAATCTCAATCCATAAGCAGACAAGGCAGCCCTGAGGAAGCCCGAACACTTTCCCATGACTGGGAAGCATCTGTGTTGGGCAGGGTGTCAAGAGCTGCTTCTGTTCCTCAGGGTGGTCTCTCACCTTGTTTGAACCAAACTCAGGACTTTGAGTCCTGCTTTTCATTTATGACTCATTCAGAGGAAGATGTGGGCACTCTGGGAGGGAATATGAAAGATCAGGATGATGTGGAGGCAGAGAGGTTGCTGTCCACAGGAGGCAATTAGGACACCAGAAACAGAGCCCACCGAATGGGAGTCTCTGCTTTGCTTTGGGGGCTCCCTGGTTGCTCAGGGCATGTGTCTGCCTCCAAATTGCCTGTGCTGAGAGGAATAATGTGGGGGGATTCCAGCAGTGACAGGGACCTATCACTGTTCATGGTGCTGGAGGAGATGCAGAGCTGGGTCTGAGGACCCAATGGGGAGCCACAAGCATATCCCTGCATCTGAGAAACCCAGAGGAAGGACTTGGGGGAATATTTTCCTGCATGAAAAAGCCATGGAGAACAAGGGACTGGACCAGACCTGACTCTCAAGAAGACACAGAAAGCATTAGCAAAATGCTTCTTTGGCTGGAGGAGATGGGAGGATGAGGAATGAAAGGTGAAGACTCAGGGAGGTGGGTAGCTTGGCTAGGTGGATGGTGGATCTGCAGGAGGGATGTGAGAGGAGTAGGGGGTGAGTGGGTACAAATGATAGAGCGAAGGCAGTGGAAATGGGGAAGGTATGGAGGGGGGGAAAGGATGGCTAAAAATGCCTGTGGAAGTGGGGAGGTTCCATGTCAAGGCTTTCACAACAGGTATGTGCTGTGCTGGGAGACTTGCAGGAGGCAAAGTGGATTTCATGACACTTCATTACACTGAGTGATTTGTTCAGCTTCCATGAAATGTAACTGGAAAATGATGTGGGTACATCCATGGTGTGAGACAAGGGTGCTGGTTCACAGCTTCCAACTGCACTGAGACTTGAAGGTTGTCTGGTGGTTTGTTATCTCTTGGAAGCAGAGGTGAGAGATGGGTCTGTGTCTCACCAGTTGCTGGGATGGACACTTTGGGATGCTTTGCAACACAGCCAGCCTTGTGCAGAGAGCATGGAGAAGGCAGCAGCTTTTCCTGCCTCAAGGCAGCTTGCATGATAACCCCCAGCTCAGGTTCTGCTCTGCAGGGCCAGCCCATTCATCTGGTTATGGAGAACTCTCACGTCTGTTCAGGCTTCCGCAGGAGCTCTGCCTGTCCTTTGGGGCTGGGAGTGAGGGGGAGCAGATCTGCTTTCACCTTGTGACAAGTTACTTTTGCCAGTGGCTGGCATTTGGCAACTCCAGCACATCCCCTCTTCATGCTTCCTGTCTGCACTATCACTTCTGGTTTTTCCTGCCTTTGTTGGATCCTGGAAGCAGTTCTACCTTTCTAATCTGAGGACCCTCCGTCCCTGCCAGCCAGGCCTTGGGAGTTAATCATTACAAAGATTAATTACTTCTGGTGCTGTCTTGCAAAGCTGAAGATCTTTCCCCTCCTTCCAAAAGTTCCCTGAAGATAACAAAGGTTACAGCCGTTGACACAAACCTCTCAAACATTTCGTTCAGAGCATGGGGTTGGCCTCTGTTGCCACCATGGATTGTGACCAAGGCAGGGCAGGGCTCTAGATGACACGGACACCCGGGAGAAGCTGGGAGAGGGAATTGCTCCTCGTGTCGTATCTACAGTGGTTGTCTGGAATAGATACAAGGACCTCCATGTCTAACTTGCCTGCCTTTGGCAGTGAGGCAGAGGATGGAGTAGCTGACTCCAGGCTGGGAGCTGCCCCTGTGTGTGAAGGCTTGGAGGAGATACCTGGAGGAAAGCCCAAGGCAAGGTAGGACACAATGGGAAACATGGGGAAGGACCAGTCAAACATATTCCATGGGTGGCTTGTATGGGACCAGGTTTTGGCCCATTGGAGGCACTGCCTTGCCAATTGCAGTCAATCCAGAGGTGACTGTGGGATCCACTGTGGGACTGGGGTAAGAGCAGAAGTGTTTTGCCTGGTTTGTTCCCAGCAGGCAGACATGCCCTGGATCACGTGCTGGGAGGTGGGAACCTCACAGCACTGTGAGGGACAGTTGTCTCTCTGGCTGTAGGTAATGCCCTAGGTGAACTACCTAGAACTGTATCTCCTCTTGATTTCAGCAACAGGCTGTGGAGTGGATCAGTCGTTTCCAAGTGCCCCAGGAATGACCTGGAGCTGAGCCTTTTTGCCCCTCTGTGCTAGCAGAGCAGGGCAAGTGAGGAAAAAGCATTTTGGGATGAGTGTGCCCTGGGCAATGAGGCTCCTCCATGAGAGCTGGTGATGCAGGGGGTAAAATGAGTGGGCAGGGAATAGTGTGTTCCCACTGCTTTGCAGAGATGGTGTAAATCAGTGCGGACACATGACTGCTCTCGTGTGCTGGGAGAGCTGCCCTGCTCCCTCAGCCTCCTGGAAGGATGAGCCAGCTAAAAATGAGAGCTGCAGTGTCCAGTGTTCAAAGCTCAGTAACAAGGAGACTGAGTTGTCTCATTCACACCAGGTTATGGGAAGCCCAGTGCTTTCCATGAATGGGGACTTCAAAAATCCTGGTCCAGTCCTGCTGCTGCCCATCACTAACAAGCCTTTCTCCTCTCGGCCACGTTTCTCCCATCCTTTCAGCTTCCTGTGTATTATTAATCACTTCTTTACATCCCAGACTCCCTCACTGTACTGGGTTTGAGCGGCAGTGATGTTGCTAGCACCTCTGGGATAACATAGTTAAGAAGTGGGGGTGAAGCTGCACAAAGCAATTGCAATGGGAGAGTGAGAGTATGTGAGAGAAACAGCTCTGCAGGCATCAAGGTCAGAGCAGAAGGAGGGGAGGAGGTGGTCCAGGTGCCAGAGCAGAGATTCCCCTGCAGCCTATGTTGCAGACCATGGTGAGGCAGGCCATGGAGGTCCACAGTGAAGCAGATCGTGGAGGACTCTCCACGGGGATGGAGGTGGATGTCCAAAGGAGGCTGTGACCCTGTGGGAAGCCCACACCGGAGCAGGTTTGCTGGCAGGACTTGTGAGCCGGTGGTGGTGAAGAACTGTAACCTGTGGAAGGGACCCAGTGTTTTAACAGGGGAAGAGTGTGAGGAGTGCTCCCCCTGAGCAGGAAGAAGCAGCAGAGACAGAGTGCAATGGACTGACTGCAACCCTCATCCCTTTGTGCTGCTCCAGAGGAGGAGGTGGAGAAAATCAGGGGTGAAGTTGAGCCTGGGAAGAAGGGAAGGATGGGAGAAAGGTCTTTTAGGATTCAGTTTTGATTTCCCATTACTGTTCTCTGATTCCATTGGTAGTAAATTAAGCTCCCTTCCCAAAGCTGAGGCTGTGTTGCCCATGACAGTAACCGCTGAGCATTCTCATTGTCCTTATCCTGACCCAACAGCCTTTCAGTATGCTTTCTCACCCCCGTCCAGCCACCCAGGGAGCCCAGTGAGCTGTTCCAGCAGGAGCAAGCGGGCACGCTCCGTGCTGGGGAGGGATGGTGTGTTTTTGGGAGCTGGCTCAGGCTGAATCCCTGGCTGAGCACACACCTCCATCCGGCTGCTTCAGCATCGCAACGAGGGTGCCTCTCTATAGTAACAGCACAAGGAGTAATGGGTTAAAACTGAAACAGGGGAGATTTAGGTTGGGTCTAGGGCAGAAGCTCTTCCCTGAGAGGGTGCTGAGGCGCTGGCACAGGGTGCCCAGAGAAGCTGTGGCTGCCCCATCCCTGGCAGTGCTCAAGGCCAGGTTGGACACAGGGGCTTGGAGCAAGCTGCTCCAGTGGAAGGGGTCGGGGTTGGAGCTGGATGAGCTTTAAGCACCCTCCCAACCCGAACCATCCCAGGACTCCACGTCCCCTCTCAGGCCTCCCCCCTCCCTCCCGGGCCCGGCGGGCAGCACTGCGCAGGCGCACCTCGGTCACTGTTCCCCCCTTCCCGGGAGCGCGTCCTTCAGGCGGTGCCTGAGCGCCGGGGCCGGCTCCGGGCATGGCTGGGGTTGGGGCGGCGGCGGCAGCAGCGGCGGCTCCTTCACCCTGAGCGGCGGCGGCGGCGGGACCCAGCATGCGGCGGGGGTAGGTCCGGGAGCCGGGCTGCGAGCGGAGGGGCGGCCGTTAGCGGTGGAGCCTGAGGGGGCGGCGGTTGGGCGCTGCGGGCCTGCGATGTGTGGTACCCGGGCCTACCGCCCCCCGAGCGGGGTAAGGGGGGAGCCGGTGGCTCCGCGGGGCCGCACGCGGGTGTTGGGATTGTGGTGTCTGAGGGTCCCCTCGGGCTTCCATTGGGTTTGCTGCGGTGGTTGGTAGCGCTTCATGCCCTTGCAGAGCCCTAAACCTGACGGCTTCTCCGGTCTCGGGGCTCTGCAGCTGTGGTTGTGTGGAAGTCAAGAAGGGAGACGGGCTGCCCCATTCCTGGCAGTGTTCAAGGCCAGGCGGGACGGAGCAGCCTGCTCTAGTGGAAGGTGTCCCTGCCCGTGGAACTGGATGAGCTTTAAGGTTCCTTCCTCCAATAACCACTCTCGGGTTCTGTGACAGGATAAGGACATATCGTGTCCATCAGCAGCCCTCAGGTGTAAGAACGCAGTGGGTGATTGCTGAGGCAGATATAAGAAATAAAAGTTATGCGTTAAGCTAAAATAAAATGCTACCATATGCTCTGCCGAGCGCTCCTGAGAGGCCCTTTACCGAGCTCTTAGTGGGGTGGTGAGAGATGCTGGTTCATGGTGGTGCAGGATGGCAGCAGTCAGGGGTCTGTCCCATCTGGATGGACCACTCAGGTCCTCTTTGCGAGCTGGAGGGGAAGAGTTTAACCTGGAGAGACTCACAGGGCTGTTTGTAAGGGAAATAACCCTGTCGGATCAGCATTGCAGGAACATGTGGGGCCCACTGGAAAAAGTGCAGATCCTGCACATTTTTTTGCTTTTTCTACAGAAACCAACTTTAGAAGGTTGTTGGGGTTGTTTTAGGGTTTGTTTTTTGTACAAGTTTGCATTTCTTGTGTCAGTGTGGGACATTTAGGAGATAATACATTTTTCCATGAAAGACAGCCGACAGAGCAGCAGTAGCAAGAGTGTGCCGGTACACGGTGGTCCTTTGGTCTCTGGAGCTTTGTAATTCAAAGCCCCAGCTGGATACTGGAGATGGGGCTTGGCTGGGCAGGAGCCAGCGTAGCCAAGGCCCTTGTGGGGATTCTGTTGGCAGAGAATGCACTATATCATCATAGAAATGATTTTTCAGGATAGGTTTTTAGGTCCCTTGGTATTACAGAGTGTGGGTGGGACTGTTTCATTCCTTGGTATCCTCCAGTTTTCTTCCACAGTGCATGGAAATACACTGGAATACCTGTCTCCCAAGACAAACAACTTTCATCTGAGAACTTGAGAGTCATAATGAAACAACGGGGTTTTTTTTCTTCCTGTTACGTATGAGTTAGTTTGGCTGTCTTAGTAGTTTAGTGGAGTGTTGAAATGTCCCTTTTCCTTGCTGCTTGGTTTTGAATCTGGCTTTTCCTCCGTGCTCTGATTGTTGCTTCCTTCTGATCACAGAAGCTGGAGGTGCTAGGACTGGCTGGGTCCCTTCTGGTGTATTTCCTTTCTAATTCAGGAGTACCTGGAGGGATGTGTTCTCTGCAGCTTACACTGTATAATCTCAAAAGTCCACAGCAGAGAAAGCTTCCACTATGCCACCAGAGATGGTTTAAGTGTTGAACAGACCTCTGCTTGCCATGCTTCCCATGCCCCGTGGCAGATCCACTTCATTAATTGGTCTCATTAAATCTCCATATTCCTGTAGTGTGCTTCATTCCTTCCTTTGGGTCATTCTTTTACTTATTCTGTCCTGTTTCCTAGTGTTTGGAGCCTTTGGAGACCTCCTCATCCCGTTAGCGATGTCACTGTTTAGGTAAGTGATGTGTGTTAACTAATCTTGACCTTTCTAAGCCATTTCATTTCTTCTATGCAGTTCTACTTTTCCTCTGATTAACCAGATGTGCCAACAGAACAGCCTGTCTGGATGGAGCAGGCACTGCATGCCCTGGACACCATGTAGTTCTCACTTCTGTGCTCTCTTGCACCTCAGACTGTAGATGCCTGCCCAGTCTGGGAGTTCCTGTTGGTCATGGCTTGCTCAGTCAGCCTTATCCCTCCATGTTTGTGCATATCACTTTTTATCAAACAGTGCCAGCATGCTGAATAGCTCAAGGTGAACTTTGCTTGGAGGAGCTGTCTGTCCTTTTTCCTCTGGCTAAAACCAATTTTATTTTCTTGCCTTTTCCCCAACACACCCTTTCATGTTATCTTCCATACTTCCATACTTCCATAGTATCACCGGGATGAGCCTCCTTTTCCAGATCTTCACAGTGAATGTTCAGTGAAAGCAGGTGAGGTCAATGGGACATTAGTTAGTTTCTGTCCTTTCCTATGTTCTTAAAACTGCTGTATGGCCATCCTTCTGGTGCATCAGTTGGCATCACACTGCAGCAAGGATCTTGTGCTCTTTGTCTTCCAAGGGTTCAAATAGTGTTCCATGTGTGCTTTTCCACATGCTTTCCTGTGGTACCTGAGCTGAATTAGCTGCAAGCTGCTTTTTCTTTCCCTCTCTGGAAGATGACTGTGGACAGCTTGCTCATGGACAGCTTTGGGGGTAGAAAGGGAAATAAGGGAAAACAAGGCTCTTCTGTGCTGCCCATGGCCAAGCAGATAAGCCCAGTGTGGGGCTGGAGTCAGAGTGAGGAGGAAGAGCGAGGCCTGGCTGGAATACAAGAGGTAGGGCAAGTTTAGGAGAGGAAAACACATTGGGAAGAGGGGGAAGTGAACCTAGCCAAAAGAAGGTGATAGCTTCTCTGCAGGAGAAGGTAGTGGAGAAGAAGCAGTAGCCAGGAGTGTGCAGGAGGAGGGATTTTGGTGCTGTACATGGAAGAGGGTAGCACCACAGCCCAGCTAAGGCTTGTGACCCAGAGATAACCAGCAGCAGGTTAATCTGTAGTGCAGTGTGTGGGTCAAGCTGAGTGGCTGGACACGATAGAAAGCTTCCATGTGTGCAAGACTTTATCTCTGACTTCAAATGATAAGTGGCTGCATGTGGACATTTCAGTGCATGAAGAAGGGGTGGGTTGATGCACATGCTCAAGACAACACTAAGATTGCAGTGCCCTGTCATGCAGGAAATAAAGCTTATGTTTTCCTCTCGTAAGACCCCATCAACTACAAAGCCTACTAAATTCACCAAGCTTCTTCCAGGGTCTGTGTTAGTCTGACAGTTGGCAAAGTCCTACTGAGCACTAGGGAAAAAGGTGTCCTGAGTGACTCTTCTGGTTTCTTCTTTCTGGTACATCTCTATTTGCAAGCCACTGAAACTAAAAAAAGAGGGCTTCGTCTCAGCTCAATGGAAATACACATGTTTAGAGAGCTCTGTGGAGGACTCTGGTGGGAAACCAATGGTTAAAAATAGATTTCCGCAAAACAGGGGTGGGAGGGCGAAGAAGGTGGGTTTGTAGTGGGGGATTAAGATTGTACATTCATAGGGAATGGGAGAGCTGTACTCACTTTTCCTTACTACTCTGCTTCAGAGTGTCTCTGAACTTAGGTGTACTGAGTGTATACTGGCATTCTAAACAAGCCAGCTGCAGAGGGTTGCTCTCCAAAGCAGGTGAGAATGGGATTCCTGGAGTAGCTGTCTTTACTTCTCCTGCTTTATTCTGAGTTAATAGTATCTGAGACATGCTGGTTGAGAAGGATTACACCAGGAGTTACTAATAGCATTGTGTTGCCTGCTAAGTTTTGTGCATCCAGTATTACTTGTGAGGGAGTACTCACTGTTGAGAAACCAGCCCTCTTAAAAGGGGTGCAGGCTGGGCGTCTCAAACTAGACTTGGTGTGATTCCCAGGATAAAGATCCCAGGATAGGAGTGGAGGTTGCCCCCAAAGTATTTTAGATCATGTCTTCTGTTGCTAGGCAGGAAGCAATCCATGCCAAAAGGGTAAAGAACTGGTGCAGCTGCTGCTGCCTTCTTCATCCACCATCCCCTTCCCTGCCTCACCTGAGTGCCTGTGAGAGGCTGGAGGCGGAGACTGGTGTTGAGTGTTAGAGGAAGGCTATGAATCACCCCCATATAAAGTTTCACTGTGTTGGTAACCCACAGCCAGGCCAATTTTGAGGAAGACAGCCAGAAGCAACCAGCTGTTGGACACTGGAAACCACTAACGCCATCCAAAGGGAGCAAGGAGGAGACAGAAACTGGGTGCCAGGATGCTGGAGGTGTGGATGAGACCCAGTCCACTGAGCAGCTCAACGTGTCACGTCTACGCAGCTCTTCAGTGGAAATCCGTGAAAAAGGATCTGAATTCCTGAAGGAAGAGCTGCACAAAGCACAAAAGGTAAGGCCCAGAGTTTGCAAGAATACTGAGGATGGTGGTATAGATTTGAGCAGTGGGGATGTTCCTAGAAGTGATGCTGAGGGGAACAGGGTCTGAATGTGGCTGTGGCACAGTCTGGAGCAGGCAGAAAAGGACAGAGATTATGCTGAGGTGGCCATAAAGTGCTTTGGAGCAAGGTCATGAATTGCATGACCCAAAGCCTCTGTGCCAACATCCATATTTCCTCCTGGAAATCTGCTGCAGAAAGAAGTTGGAGGCAGGCAGTGCTTACTATGGAGCCTCCCTGCTAATGGCAGATAAGCAATTCCAGCCTGAAAAGCCTGCTAGAACTTGGGGAGGGACATGGAGTGGGGTACACAGGAGTCTTAGACCAGGAATCCATGCTGTGGTGGAAAGAAAGGTTATGATTGACAAGTGGGGGCAGGCAGGCACAGCACTGCTGGGGCTTGCTACGAGCTCATGTGTCTCTCTCCATTTCCTCAACAGGAGCTGAAGCTGAAGGACAAAGAATGTGAGAAATTATCAAAAGTCAGAGAACAACTGGAGCAGGAACTAGAGGAGTTAACAGCTAGCCTATTTGAGGTCCCACCCTCTTCCTTTTCCCATAATTTCTTAAACTAAGCTTATATCTAACTGCTTTAAGACAGGCTTTCCCTGAACTTCCAGCCATCTCCTCCCACAGCTTCCTCCTTTCTCCTGTTTTTCTTTTCCCACTTGGAGAAGTGGAGCTGGGCAGTGCTGCAGGCAGAGCCTCAGAGAAAGGGCTTGTAACTTCTCCTAGGGAGTATTTACATGCATTTCTTTCCTCTTCTAGCAGCTGTGTGGTGGCATAAAGAGCACATTAGTTATGGGTCTCCATCTGGTAGCAAAAACAGATGTGGGGATGGTTATAGCTGGAGCTAAGCATAGCTCTCTGCCCCTCTCCTATGTGTGCTCTGAGTCTGGACAGCAGCTGCTGTGTAATAGAGATGATTCCCTGGCTCGTGTCAGCCCTTGCTTGGGGTGGGAAGAAGCTGGATGTCCTCATATACTCTGCTCCAGTGATTGTTTAGAAGGCCTGTTGGTTGGGTATTTCGTGTAACATGATTCTTACCAAGCTCTTTCCTGGCAAGATCCCATTTACCAGCAGCTCTAATGTCTGGATTTGACTGAGCAGCAAGGAAAAAGCCAGAGCCCATCTATACCTTTGAAACAGGCTGGTGCTGAGTGTGAGGGCCAGGAGAGCATCCCCTTCCTGGAGGTTTGGTTTCCTGGGCTCAGGGTGAACATAGAGGTAATATAGCTGAGGGCTGTTCACTTCCTTTGGTGGCCTTGGACAGCAGGGAGGCTCCAGCTGGGATTCACACCACTCCCCTCATCCTGTGAGAGGTGCTTTTATGCTGCCTCTGCCATTTGGTCTCCACGTGAGCTACAGCTCCTGCTGTGTTGCAGCTATGCCCAGAGCAGTGAGGAGCGGGCCTGTCTGCAAGGGAAGTGGGAGCAAAGTGCAGTAACAAGCAAGAGCAGTGACCTTGCCAGTGAGGAGCCAAGATGTGGAGCCGCAAGTCTGGATCAGGATTAGTGCCACAGACAGAAACCAAGGTCATAAAACAGTCCAGTGATCAACCAGCAAGTCTGCTGTGACTGCAGTGACAGCACAGGCCTGAGGTTGAGTCAGGAAGCCAAGCTGGGTCAAGTTCAGAGTTGCAGAGGTATTGGACTGGGTGCAGACACAACTGCTCCACAGCAGTGATGTAGCATAGGTGAGTGCTAATGTCAAAGCCTCAGCTTTAAAGCTGTTCCCAAGGGCAAGGAGGGGTAGGCACTTGCTTCTCCCTTTCTTCATAGCACCTCATATTGGTGAAAGAGATGACCTTGGATTTGGCCAGCTAAACTCTTTAGTTAAGTCAACTATGCACTCCAGACTCTGGCACTCAGAGCTTTCTCTGGGAAATTCTGGGAGAAGGGTCTTCAGAGATGGCAGAGTAAAACCCTTGGATGTGGCAGTGATGTCTGTCCCCCTGCTTGTTGCCCTGAGCATGTGATACAGCAGAGCTTTGGCCTGGCCTGGTGGCTTTGAGTTGGGGCTGCAACAAGCTGACTCAAATTCTCTCTGGTCCAGGAAGCACACAAGATGGTGAGAGAAGCAAACACTAAACAGGCGGCATCAGAGAAACAGCTGAGGGAGGCACGGGGGAAGGTAAGAATTCCACTCTCTTACGTCTTGATCTCTGTGCTAGGTTGGTGCCATCCCTGCCCAGCCTGGCCATGATGCTGTTTGGCTGGAGGAGAGTGAAGTCTCTCTGAGATGCTTCATTTGCTCTGTTCCCTCTCCAGCAGACACTAATTGAGGGGGGTAAAGGCATCCTTGCAGCCTGTGGCTGATCCAGCTCCCCTGTGAGAGATGGATCGGGGGATTGTAGCTGGATCCCAGTAGCTTTAGTGTTTGGTGGGGATGCAGCAAGCTCAAGCTCAGGAGGTGCTGACTCTTGCCTTGTTTCCTCAGATCGACATGCTGCAGGCAGAGGTAACAGCTCTGAAGACATTGGTCATCACGTCAACACCTTCTTCTCCAAACCGGGAGCTGCACCCTCAGCTTCAGAGCCCTTCTAAAGCTGGCTTCAGAAAGGGCCATGGGCGAAACAAAAGCACCAGCAGTGCAATGGTCTCAGCTGCCAGCCAGAATGTGACTCCAGAGCCTGTCAGCCGTGAGTGCAAAGAGGTGGGTGAGGGCCATTCACTGCACTGGCCCTGGAGCCACTGTTGTCACTGTGCACAGGGAGCTGTGTGGCTTTTGCCTTGGGCTTCCTGGAGAGCTCTGTGATTTCAGTGTTGGGAGAAGCTGTTTGTTCAGTAATGTGGCTTGTTCCCTAAATTTGTGCTGAGGCAAGTTCTGGAGGGTTTCCATTTGTGGAGATTTCCTGTTCTGAGAAGCATGTTGAAGGCTGCGTCAGGACAACTGCTGGAGGAAGCAGCCAGGAGATCCCTGGAGGGCATGGACAGATTCAGGAGTTGCCAGTGCTGAGAGTGGATGTGTCAGGAGTTGCTGGGCAGAAGACAGTTGCTTGCTGCACCGTGGCAGTTGAGTCCACTGCCTGTTCTGGTGTGATTTGCTGTTGTTTCTTCTGTCTGCCTATTTTGGCTTGGACACCAGGACACCTCCATCAACTTCTAGTCTGTCACTTTTCTCCGGCATTTCACTGTTCTTACTCTTCTTTGCAGAGCATAGTGGAATTATATTTAGTTCCTTCCTCACTGGAAGGAACTGGGCAGGGAAGTATACAGAGCATTTGTGAATATCTTTCAAACAAACCCTGTTTAATTCCCTTTGGTCATCCTTTGATAGTCCCCCACCTGCTGTGACCATGGGTGTAAATAATGCTTCTTCCTGCTAGCAGGACCTTTCCATCTGGGAACTTTCCACTAGCCAGATGTATTCACAGCTGTCCTGGGAGCAAGAAGGAAAATGAATGAGAAGGTGGTGGGGGGAATATGTCTCCCTAGTAACTTTCTGGGTGCTGCAGCCTGAGGAATTGTTGAGGAAACACAAAGGCACCCAGTCACTTGGTTTGCATGCGAACATATGCAGAACGGCCACTTGTGAAATGAATGCTCTCACCAAACAGGACTGTGCTGGCAACACTGGTTGACATCTGCTTTTGGCAGTGGATTCAGTGAATGTGCCTTCTGCACAGTGCTCTTGGTAGAGTTTGGCTGAAATGCTTCAGGCAGCATTGGCTATAGCCATTGTTCTGAGACAGCAAAAGCCATGAGAGATGAAGATCCTTTAACTATTCACAGGCAGAGAGGAACAAAGGTTATATGAGAAAGAAAGCCAAAGGAAAATGAGTTTGATAACTGCGAAGGCCTGGTTTCTAGTGGTCAGACATGGAACAGTCCAGGCATGCTGGAAGCTGCAGTCAAATGCAGTTAGTTAGAAGCTACTTTGAGGGATGGGATGAAAAAGGTTTTAGTATTTTTAAGGACCTGTGAGCTCTCCCAGTGCTACCCATTCCTCCAGTCAGAACAGATTTGGGCCTGTCATTTGTGTGGGTAACTTCCACATCGTGCAGATAACCTGAGCTTTAAAATGCCAGTTCCAAAGTGAATAATTTTATGTGTCCAAGATGGGGTGCATGTTTTTTTTGTAACTTGTTAATTTCTGTCTCTCAAACTCCTTAATGGCCTATGTGAGAGGTGGTAAAAGGGAACCTGGGATTCAGAGAGTTGGTGCTCTGTGGAAAGCACATGCCATATCTTAAACTGAGCCTAAAAATGTCAGAATTTGTTCTGGTTTTGCACCTCAAGCTGAAGACAAAAGGTGAGGCTTGTGACCCTGTGATTTCTTAAGCCGTGTGCTTAGTTCCCTGGAAAGGAGGACTTGAGCCTGTCTTTGTATCTTCTGGTTTATCTCATGTTTGTTACTTCCCTTTCTTGCCTGTCTCTAAACCTTTCCCTTCACTGTCTGTCTCTTCCTCTGCCCTCAAAGTCTGGGTTACCTGCTCTCCTCTCTTTGCTCCTCTGTTTCATCCCTGGGAAGGCAATCCACATCACCTATGAACCAAGCTGGCAGGCCTTGGGGGCAGATGCTTCCTCGTCCTTGCAGCAGGTAACCTTTCTGGTCAGCACTGGCGGTGGGTGGGATACATCTACCTCTCACACTTCCAGCCTTTCAGTTCTAGCTTCCTTTTATGCTAACCTCCATATTTTGTTTTCTTTTTGTTTTTCTCCATTTGTTTTTCCATCTTGTGGCTCTGAAGCTGTCTCCTGGTGCCAGGTGAGCAGTGTCCATAGCATAGAATGAATGTGCTAGAACCCTGACCTATTTTCAGCTTTCTTCACTCATGGTCTTTGTGTTGCTCAGCAGGGTTTCTTTAGTTTTGTTTTTCCTTTCACCAGCTTTAACAGGATTTGCTGGCCTTTTAAGGAGAAGCCCTGTCAGTCAGGTTGGTGGTTTGGCTGCTGATCCATCCAGGATTTAAATGCCAGGTCCCAGAGACTCTCTCCATCCAGACAGACATGGAGGAAACAACTTTCACAGGGGCTGGGAGCAAGCTCTGTCCTGGGTCCCATGTCGCTGAGCAGTGATAATTCTTGCAAGCCCAAGGCAATGAGCAGATATTAGAATAAGGAAAGCTGTTCCTGTTCTTTGAGTTCCCTTTGAGAGAGCTCTTTTCCTACACTCAGCTTGCCTCTGCAAGCCTGTATGGCTTCCTAGTGTTCCCATTACTTCTGCAAGTCCACAAACACCAGAGTTCTGGGCTTGAAGTGGTCTTTAAAGGGCTGGCATAGCCTGTGAACTCATTCTTGGGCTCACTGAATGTAGTCCTGCTGATGGCTGTTTATTCATAGCTTTTTCCAATTCATCATTTTCTGTAGCAATCCTTCCCTTACGGAAGGGTTCTGCCTCCTGAGCCCTGGGTGCCACTGTGCTTTGTCGTTCAGCTGCTCTCATCATTCCTGCCATGGGCTGAGTGAGCACTTGGTCTGTTTGGTGGTTGTGTTGTGCCTTTCTTGTAGCAGAGGTTCTGCCTCATCCTGGAGAAAGATGGGATAGAGAGGCGCCTGCAGGTTCCTGACAGAGTAAGCCCACTATGGCTGTGTCAGTCTGGCACAGAACTCCTGATGGGTGGGAGATGAAAGATGGTTGGAGCAAACCAGCTTCCCCTCAGACACTTCTGTGGTGTCTAAGCCTTTCTAGCTGCCAAAGCAGATGCTTTGTAGTTAGGTTACCTGCATAGTAAAAGAAACCTTTTGATACTGTATCTCTCCACTCACTTTCTCTCTTCCCACTCCTGTTGGACACTTGCTGCAGGTCGACTCCATTTTATTTGCTGAGTTCCAGGCCTGGAAGGAATCTCCAACCTTAGATAAATCCTGCTCCTTCCTAGACAGAATTTATCGGGAAGATGTAGGACCTTGTCTGGACTTTACTAAGCATGAGGTGAGTGCTGGAAAAGGAGGACAAAAACTGCACAGCATCAAAGTTACACCTTTATGGAGGTGACCTTTGCACATTCCTATCTGCTTTCTCTTTGCCATAGCTGTCGGAGCTGGTGCGAGTGGCTGTGGAGCAGAATACACTCACCATTGAGCCAGTTGCTTCTCAGACACTGCCTGCGGTGAAGGTGTCAGCAGAAGAGTGTGGTGGCCCAAAGTAAGGAACTATGTTTATGCTCTCTTGTCCTCTCTGCTACGTGTCTGTACCATCTAGTGGAGTTTGGTGAGGCCTTGCTCAGTCAGTTGAGGTGAACAGTTCAAAGGGCTCACCTGAGTGTTCTAGCCTATGACCAGTGGTAGTTTAGCTCCGTGAGAATGGGAATTAGCTCAGTTGATGTACTGTAGATGACTGTTTTGGGAGATAACCTAGTGATATGTTAATGCCCTTCGCTTGGGAGAGGTTTGGATTTTTTTCCCATTAAGGTAGCAACTTGTTTAATGTTCTCTAAAGGTGTGTTTGTGCATAACTTAGGGTGAAAGAATTAAGTCAGAGCCACAGAGTGCTGAGGCACTGGCAAAAGGTGCCCAGGGAAGCTGCAGCTACCCCCTTCCTGGCAGTGTTCAAGGCCAGGTTGGACACAGGGGCTTGGAGCAGCCTGCTCTAGTGGAAGGTGTCCCTGCTCGTGGCAGGGGTTGGAACTGGATGATCTTTAAGGTCCCTTCCAACACAAACCAGTCTGGGATTCTATGATTATCTCATGTTCTTGCATCTTGTGAGGTTTGAACTCACCTTGTGCTCTTGACCTTGCTGGTGCACTAGGTGGGTTTGAGTCTAGGTCAGAATATATCTCCTCTTGCTGCATGTCATCTTTCCCACTTTACCATCAGAACTGGGGCTATGGCTGCTTCAGAGCTTGTGTGACTGTATCTGGTATGACAGACAACTTGAGATTTACTCAAAGAGGAGGAGCTTTAGCAGATATGACATGGTATTCCATATGAAGATAGGAAATTTTATTCAGCTACTGAATTTAAGTTCAGTCAGGGCTCTCTCTCTTTGTTCTTCCCTCCCTTACCTTCAAGCATGTTCTAAGCTAAAGTGTTTCTGTAACAGTAAATGCTGCATGCAGGTTTCCTACTACTCTCCTCTGCATTTTCTGTCATCTCTAGGCAAACTGTTCATGAGTATGTGTCAGGCCTGTTCCAAGAACAACCCATCCTGTGTTTATCCTTACTGGTTTCCTTTGATTTTTTTTTTATGTCTTCACAGTGGGTTCCGGTCACAAATTGTAACGTAAGTGAAGTATTTATTTTTCAGTGAGTGATCAAAGATCTCTAATCCATTAACAAGTTACTAATTTAGTGCCATTTAGAAGCTTTGAGGCTGGAGCTGAACTAAGCTAACTTTTTAACCCTGTTTAATTTCCACCCAGACACAGGCCAGTAAGGAATCTTGCTATTGGCAATAAATGCCCAAAAGGAATTTGTTCCCCTTTGTTTCCCAGTTGCAAAACACCGATTTTCATAGCAACTTTGGACATGCTGTGGACCAGCATGAGGATGATCAGGGGGCTGGAGCACCTCCCATATGAAGACAGACTGAGACAGTTGGGGCTGTTCAGCCTGGAGAAGAGAAGCTGCGGGGAGACCTCAGAACAGCTTCCAGTGTCTGAAGGGGGTTACAAGGATGCTGGAGAGGGACTCTTTGCTGGGGACTGCAGTGATAGGACAAGGGGTGATGGGTTAAAACTTAAACAGGGGAAGTTCAGGTTAGATATAAGAAGTTCTTTACTATGAGGGTGGCTTACAGCCCACGCTTCCACTCTTACCTAAATATTTGCCTCGCTAGCAGTGGAAAGCAAGCACAGAAATGTGCTCAGAAGCTCTCTGAAACATGTGTCCCTGTGTTTTGTCCTCTTCCATGGCCCACAGGGCAATTTTTTTGCAGCTGGAGAGTGATGTCTCACTTCTCCTGGTGTAGGACCACTAAGTCTCTGAGGAACATGGTGATGACTGCAGCAGAGTATTCTGCTTTACTGCTTTAAGTGGTGATGAAGGAAGGGCAACTGGTTGGTGCTGGGATTCATTTGACTTGCAAGTAAGGGACTGAAATGGCAAGAAAATAGAGGTGTGCTGCAACCTTGGTGGTTACATCTCTTGGTGGTCTCCCTGGGAGCTGAGTTGTCTTGAAAAGGCTTTTGTTTGCTGTCTGAAATCTCCTTACAGTTGTGAAGCCAAGCTTCTTCCCCGTCTGTGCAAGAAGGGATTGCTTGTTCATAGGAACTACAAGCCTTAGTGAAAGTCTCCATGAAGTCAGTAGAAAGTCACTTTATGTGGCTTCAACTAGAGCAGGTTCAAATCAGGCCCATCTTAGTAAAGAGGAGCCTGGCATAAAGACTGTAGGGTGGCTTGTTTTGAGCTCTCAGCATGAGCAATTTCTGCTCAAATGCTGGATTTACCTGTTTTGGGACTAGGTTTGGCCCTCAGCCAGCATGTTTGTGCCTCATCAGGAAAGCTGAAGCAGCTGAGTGGAACTCCTTCAGCAAAAGCCTTGCCTGGAACACAGAGATGTGCAGAGACTGGAGGACACTTGTTATACTCTGCTCCAGCCTCATCTCTTTAATGTTTTCTGTGGTTTTGTCTTGGGCTGTCTGCCAGGGAAAGGATACAGCCTTTGCTTGGGTGTGGAATGATTCATGGTTCCAGATATTTAGCCTAAGGCCTCCTAAACTTGCCATTTATGGAATCTTTCTAGGAGCCAAAGGCTCCTATCAACCATGGGATTTTATTTCTTCAGTTGACTGACACAGATCTGGCTTCTGAGCACCTGCTTCCTCCTCTTATGGATAGTCTTGAAGCTGTTGAATTGCTGTGCAGTGGATTGGTGAAGGCTGAAGTGTTTCTTCCTTTGGTTGCAGGAAGTGTGCTCTGAGTGGCCTCCCCAGGACCTGCAAGCACCGCATCATGCTGGGGGATTCTGGGAATTACTACTACATTTCACCATCCTGCAGGGCCAGAGTAAGTCCTTCACATTCCCAGTGTGCCTCAGCCCTCTTAACAGTGTTCCAAGCCCTGACATGGAGATGCTTTTTGAGGGTCAGCCCTCAAACTGGCAGAGACCTGTGGGAATTGAGTTTGTTCCTGAAGTCGAGGTGGCTCTTGATCAATGACAAGGGGGCAGGTTTCAGCCCTGGCTCACACTCCGGTGCTCTGCCGTAAGTTCCTTCAGGCAACCTGTTTTCAGTGTGTTCACTTTCCATGGTTTGATTCAGTACAGGGCTTTGATTGTTTTGCTTTATTATTATGTTTTAATTCTCCTTTATAAAACACAGTAATTTTCTGCTCTTTAAATACTGGCCCTTGTTACTGTTCCAGTACAGATCAGTGACTCAAATAGTTGGGAGAACAAGCTGTCCTTTCTTTGGAGGGAAGGGAGAAGATGAATGATTTGTTAATATTGCTGTTGAGGCTCTGATTCAATGGAGCATTTTGGAAGTTTATTCTTTCCTCAGTTACATATCGGAGATCCTGCAACATGTGATTATTTCTGAGTCAAAAAGTTGGGTTTGTCCATGGACTTAAGTTGAATGATTTTTGTCACTTGCGCTAAAATGACTAGCAGTCATAGAATCATAAAATCATGGAATGGTTTGGATTGGAAAGGGTCTTAAAGCTCATCCAGTTCCACCCCACTGCCATGGTCAGGAACACCTTCCACTAGAGCAGGTTGCTCCAATCCTGTCTGACCTGGCCTTGAACACTTGAGGGATGGGACATCCACAGTTTCCTTGGGCAGCCTGTACCAGTGCCTCACATAAAGTGTCACTAATGTCCTTACCTCCCTGCACAAACCTTTAGCTCCAAAGATTTTTCTTCAGTCAGATAAGCCCTCTCTGAAGGAAGGTCATGGACTTTGCTGCCACATTTAGTGATTACTGATATTTTACATCAGTAGTAGTTTGGAGTTCTTCCACAGTGTGTCTTATGGATAGGGTAATATCTTGGCATGGGATTGCAGATGCCCAGAGGCATCTTTGATTTTTGGTTTGTTTAAAACCAGCTTTCTTCCTATCTCTTGCCATCTGGTGGTACATAGTACTGTTTCTCAGGTGCTCAACACTAAGAGCTCTCCTGCTGTAGCTGACTCTTCTTTCCCTTCTCTCCCTTCTCTTCCTCAGATCACAGCGGTGTGCAACTTCTTCACATACATTCGCTATATTCAGCAGGGCTTGGTGAGGCAAGATGGTAAGAAGGGATAGTAGCTGGCTATGGTGGGGATACCTTCTGTGGGCCATTGGGAAGAACTGGGTCCTGTTATTAAGAGGTCCTATTCAGTGTGACAGGAGCTGGGCCCACTTGGGGTACCCTGAACTCCCTGTGTCTTTGGAAATGGTTAAATGATAAAAGAAAAGCATGAGTGGGAATAGATTCACCTAGTCCTTGCTCATCAGCTTGTTGGGAACTTTGCCCTAGGGTGGAGCTGGTGGAGGGTGACTTGATGGGCCTGTGTTGCTGGGTGTTTGCTTCCCTCACTCTGGGGATGAGCCTGGCTGGGCTTCACTGTGAGCACAGCGTAACATGAACTGTTATGTCCAGCTGTGCATTGCTTACTGATGTTTGGTGTTGATTTTTTTCTTTCTCTTCCTCACTGTTTTTGCTTTGCAGTGGAGCTGATGTACTGGGAGGTCATGCGGCTCCGGAGGGAGATGTCTCTGGCCAAACTTGGGTTTTATCCCAGTGAGATGTAAGCAGAGGCCTAAGAATGGAAGGAAACTGGTCCTGTATGAACAGCTTGTCAAACGTAGTCTGCCAAACAGACGAATGCAGTGCCTCTCCTGCAACAGGCCTTACTTGCTCCTGCCTTTCTCTGCATGAAGCTGATCAAGGAGCAAGAAGCACAAGTTCCACCTTCAGCTCTCCCACATCTCTAACTGTGAGCAGACTGCAGTTGCCATGCTACCCTCTCAGAGCTGGGCTGGGCCTGGCTGCTCTGGGGTGGCTGCCTATAGACTGTCCTCTATGGAGTCTCCTATATGCAGTGTGTATCCATATGTTTGTTTAAACTTTTGTTTTTATATGCAAGCTGCTTTGGCATAACCCAAGGCCAGTCCTGGGCAAGGCAGGAGTCCTGGACCTTCTTTGTAAGCAAGTCTTTCAGGACAGATGCTGGCTGTCTGTCCATCTGATCCACTTATTCTTTGGGGTGGAGGGTGCTGTGCCCAGCCATACACTTAGGTCCTGCTGACCACTTACTCTCCTAATGGCCTTGTAGACGCCAGCAGCACACAGTAATCTTATGGAGAGCCATGAACAGCCTGTTTCCAAGTACTTACTTGCTCCTTTTAAAGGGGCTTGCATGAGAAGCTTTCTGCCAACTGAGTCACAAAGAGGGATTTGTTTCTGGTTTTAGCTTGCAATTTGGCACAGGGTGATCCAGGTTGGGGGAACAGGCAGAACAGGGGCCAGAGCTGTGCATCTGAGGCCTTCAGCAGAAGAAAGTGAGCTGGGAAAGCCATAACTCTCAGTTTGGCTGCAGTTGGTGCAGAATGTTTTCTCCTGCTCTAGAAAATCTGCTGCAGTTGCCACAGGCAGATGCAGACCTTGATGTGTTGGTGTTGGTCCTTGGTGCAGAAGTACCCCCATGGTGCTCTTAGAAACCTCACTCACAAAGATGTCTTTGAGGTGTTCTGCTCTGAGGGTGCTTTGGGCAGTGTTGTTCCCACTGTTTAGATAAAACCTGTGGTCCCAGGCTGGGTTTTTCATGTCTCCAGAAGTAGCATGCCCAGGCTGGGCAGTCCTGAGGCCTTCCTTGTATGGCATTATACCTAGACTTGCATGTCCACTGAGAAACCCAGCTTCTGGGCTCCCATCCCCAATGAGGGAATCTGAGACATCTTTGTGTGCACATGAGGGATGTAGCTGTGGTTCCTGTGTGCCTCAAAATGTTCTGGGAGGGATGTCATTAAAGCTGTTGGAGGCCCCCTACAGCTTGAGCTCAGACCCAGGCTTGTCTGTACAGGGATGTGTTAAAAGCCATGACAATGTTTCATAGCCAATTTAGCCTTTTTTTGTCAGTGACTCTGGAATCTGCTCAGTCACCACATGCCCTGGGGTTTTCATCTCATGTGGCATTTCTGCAGTCTTGACTCTGCCATCATCATAACTCTCATCTTAGCAAGTGGGTGTCCAGAACCACATCACCATCCTCAGCTCCAGTCAGTTTCATCCTCTCCTGAGAGATGCTACGGTAGGAATTCTGTATCATCAGTGGAAAAAAACTGAGCTGCTGTGTTTCTGTTCAGTAGAGGGAGGAATAGACAGGGAAGGTGAAAGTTCTGGTTTGGAATCTTAATACAAGGACAGCTTCACAGCAGAGCTGAGAAAACCTTCCTGTAGAAGACCCCCATGAGCACAAGCTTTGCTGTCACTGAGCACACTCCCAGGATGGTGCTGGGTTGTTCCTTTACAGCTATGCTGGCACATGCTATTGCTTGCCAAAGTTTCGTAGCCATGTGAAACTTTGATATCCCCAGAGCTGAGAGGACACATTGCACAATACATGTGAGTATTGAATCCATCTCCTTCAGCTTGGAAAGGGCTGACCTCCAGGACTGAATTCTGAACATCTCAGTTCTGCTTTTGCTTCCCATAGCTGAGTGCCCTGACTCATGCTGATCACCCTAGCTAGATGAGTGCATACATCTGCTACTCTTCACCAAAGGAGTATATTTATAATGTGGAGGAAAAGGCTGGAAAATACATCTTTGGGTAAGAGTCTGGCTGGGTCTTGAGCTAGTGATAAGCCTGAATCTTTTGGTGGTGTCTGCCTTCCTCAGCTGCAGATTCCAGCTCAGGTAAATCCTATCCCTGGCAGTTTTCTCCTTATATCTGCTCCCCCTGATCTGATCTCTACATGTCCTGTGCCATTCACTGTTGCATTGCACAACAGACATGGCTGCATTGCAGCACTGGGAATGAGATGATCTTTCTGTGTAGATGTTCTGGTTTGAGGGCTATTCCCCCTGCCTCAGTGTCACTTTGTAAAGCACTTTGAGATGAAAGGAGGTGAAGAAAAGCATTGTATAAGGTTGTCTTCCATTTGAAACAAAACAGCAATTTGTAGATTAATATGAAGTCACTCTCTTAACAGCAGGATGGTTGCACCCTGCTCTTTATTACAGGAAAATAAACTTTTGCTATTAACCTCTTTAAAAGTCTGGTTGCAGTTCTAGGGTTGGGTTGGGTTGGTTGGGGCACCTGTGTTTGGTAGCCAAGAGAAGAATCAGGTTTGTTGGCATTGTGCTCTGTGCTTCTCCTGCCACCATTTGATGGGACTGGGGTTTTAATGCCTTCATCAGTTTGCCCCTTTGGCAGCTGGTTGCTCCCTGACTTCACCCAGGGTCTAAGTGACTGTTTTGGTAGTGAGCAGAGTTCTTCCATGGGTATTTCTGCATAGAATCATGGAATGGTTTAGGTTGGAAGCGACCTTAAAGCTCATCCGATTCCAACCCCCTGCCATGAGCAGGGACACCTACTAGAGCAGCTTGCTCCAAGCCCCGTCCAAGCTGGCCTTGAACACTGCCAGGTATGGGGCAGCCAAGTCATCCAGACATGCAGGAGGAAACCAACTGGTGATTGAGGAGCAGGGACAGCTCTGGTGGTGTCTGCCCATCCTGCCTGTGAGCAGAGCTGCCAGGAGGGCCAGAGCACCCTGTATGAATGCGGGGCTTCAGGGAGGAGGTGGGAGCCACCAGGACCAGCAGCTGATAGGATGGAGTTATTATTATTGGTTTTATTCATTTTTATTTTTCTTTATCTATTATATTCTATTGTGGTTTTATTTTATTTTAATCCTACGGAGTCTACTATTAGCAGGTAATACAAGAATCTCCAGGATAAATTCCCTCACTACTCTGATGAGAAGGAACTGAGGAAAGCTAGGTAACTCCACCTTTGGTAATCATGAATGGACACAGGAGGACCTCTGGTGCTCCAAATAGCTGTTGCTAGAGAAACATTGTTCACTGATGGTAGCACAGATCTTTACAGTGTTCAAGAAATTATTTGAGGGTGCTGAGGCGCTGGCACAGGGTGCCCAGAGAAGCTGTGGCTGCCCCATCCCTGGCAGTGTTCAAGGCCAGGTTGGACACAGGGGCTTGGAGCAAGCTGCTCTAGTGGAAGGTGTCCCTGCCCGTGGCAGAGGGTTGGAGCTGGGTGACCTTTAAGCTCCCTTTCAACACAAACCCGTCTGGGGTTCTCTGATCCTTTAGGGAGTGCAGCCTCTCTGGTTTGGCCCTACCCTGTGCAGCGTGGCCAGGCAGCCACAAGAGGGCGCAGGCAGACCAGGCAGGAACTGTCCTCCCTCCCTCCCTATCCACCCTGCAAGACTGGAGCATCTCCATGGTCTTGCTTCCCTTCTCTCCTGTGGAGGCATCAGACCCGCTGACCTGTCTTCTGCAGCGTCTTAATACGTGTATTTCTGCAGCCTGCCTCCACTGCTGGCAAACGAAACTGGTCTTAGGTGGGTGCTGTTTTCCTTAGGTAAGTGGGCAGTGTGTCTGTGATGTGGGAAGGATTTGGATTTCTTTAAGGGATTCTTGGATAAGCCAGAGGAACACTAAAAAGCAATGGCCAGGTAAGGGATTGTGAATGTTTTGCTCTCTGAGTCTTTAGGTGTAATGTCCTCACTGGAGTCAGTCGGGATTGCTGTTGGGAAACTTTCCTGTGGCTGGGAGCTAAACCATGAGGTTGGCTCCTAAGCTTCTATGGTCTAAGCAGACATTACCCTGTCCCATATCCCCACCTGCCCACCTCTTCCACCAGAGCCTCCCTGCTGTTTTACCTCTAGGAAATAAACCATGGTCCAGTTGCCAGACCCTCCCCGTGTCCATTGAAGAGAGCCTTTGGGTCCTCTTGTATGTGCTGCTGTACGAACAGCGCTCCTCCTTGTGCCTGTTTCCCTCACAGTGTAGAGCCTGCCAGCCTGTCCTGGGCCAAAAAAGATCTTCAAAGAGTTTCAAACAACATTGTAATGTGTTTGACTTGCTTGAAACACAATGGGCAAAACCTTTTGGGAAGATTTTGCTTCCCTTCATCTCTCCTTCCTATATCCCTTTCTCTGCCATAAAGTCTAAAAGTGATTTTACATCATGTCTGGAGTTCTGTGCCCATAAAACAGCCTTTGTGCAATCCCTCTTGTATTCTCAGGCTCTGTAAGCATTAAAGCCTGTGTGTGTGACCTTGACCTCTTTTTGGAGCTGATAAGGGAAAGGGCAATTGAGAGCAGAGGGCCTGTTTGCCCTGGAGATGCCCTAGTAACTGCTAACTGTAGGACCAGGCAAGGCTGTGCTGTGTAGGACAGTGCTCCTCACTCATCCCTGTGACAATTCATGCAGAGAGGCTTGGCCAGCTTGAGAAATGATGGTTTGCAGCAGTACTATAGATGCACCAGGACAAATGCACATATAGCTTGATAGTATATCCATTGTGCCACCAGCATCTTCATGAGCAGCTTCTGCAGCTTGTTAGTGTTGTCAGTAACCAAACTGGCAGGATGTGAGGCATTTTGGCTTGGCACCAAAACACAAATAGCGGCAGTTACAGCAAAAGGAACCAGAGATCTTCCTGTGGCTGTTTCCTGCACCAGTTTTAGTGTAGATTATCCTGGTGGGTGCCAGTTCAGCTGCCTGTCTTGGAGCTTCAATTCTCCTATCCATTAAACTGGGAGATGATTATTTTCCACCATGAGGTGGATATTTGGGGCCCACCACTTCTATCTTGAGCTCTAGTAGGACTGATAAGGTGTGTGTGTACTCGATATATTTGTTCTACCTGTATGTGGGGCTCTGAGCATTTGTGAGTGTATTCATAGCTGGGAGGATAAGGGTCTGCAGGTCCAGGATGAGGCATCTTAACCTGGACTGCAAAGGAGTTTGCATTTGGAAGAGAAAAGGGATGTTTCATATCTCTGATGGAGGTTAGTGTTGTGCACAGTGAGGTACTTTAAGATACTTAGATGTTAATACACATCAGAGCAGAATCTAGGAGAGTTTTGAACAGCAAGGAGAGAGAAACCAGCATAAGGGACGTAGAGATTTGGTTGCTCATGGCAATTCCTGGGTCTGCTGGTCCTGTCCTTTACCCTGCCCTCAGAGTTACTCCAGGTTTGCACAGGGCTGTAAATCAGGCTGTTGTTGCACGGTCGGTCAGGCTGTCCCCACATGCACAGAGAGATGGATGTTTCCAGGAACCAAAAACTGAAACATTTCTTTTTGCTTCAGGTGCAGTCAGGGAGAAGGTAAAAGGTAAGCAGGTGGCTTCAAAAGAGTCAGCTATTTCAAAGCTTTCATGATAACTAATAACCTTCCTTTACGGTGAATCTACCAAACCAGGGAGGATTACTGCAGCTCTGTGTCAGCTATGGGGAAATTCCATTCATTTTGGACATTCAAGGAGCATGGCCCTACCAGGAAGAAGTCAATGTCCTGGCACAACTATAAATGTGCACCTGGCACTGAGGGCTTGTCAGCCCTGCCAAGGCAGAAATTCCTTATAGGAGCAGTCCCTGTGGTGCCACCAGTGCTGGAAGCCAAGAGGTCAGTTTTGCTGTTTATTATGTCAATATGTCCATGTTTGTGCAAGTGTTATGGGGCTAAGATGGAAGGCTGACCTTAGCCAGCCTGTTAAGGCAGATGGACTTTGTGCTGGTTTGCATAACATGTGCAGTACTGTCAGAAGCCAGAACAAGTCCCCAGTGGGGGTAATTCTTATTATTCGTAAGAGAGAAATTGGATAGCAAGATGCCTTCCTGCTTGCTCTGTGGCTCGAATTGAATCCAGTTCAGCAGTGTTAGGGGAGAAGCTGCTGCCCAAGCTTTCCATTTAGTTCCAGATGTCCCTGTTCATTGCAGGGGGTTGGACTAGAAAGTCCCTTCCAACCCAAACTATTCCATGATTCAAGAAAGAAATCCCTGGGCAATTATACCCTTATGCACTCATCCTTCATACATCTTTTTAGTCCAACAGTGATCTTTTTGGTCTGGGATCTTCTAACCCCTTCTTGAATTCTTTCTGTCTCTTCACACAGGCAGGCTGTTATCTGTTCTTATCACGTTGAGATGCAGCTTCTGCTGATGGCTGTAGCTTTCTTAGATTCTGGTTTGTGCTTCTTGTGCACTAGCTTATCACCAGAGCATGGGACACTAAAGTCTTAGACCTAGGATAAACACGACATAGCAACAACTGAAACATCAGTGTGTTAACAACATTCTTCTCCCACTGAAGACAAACCACAGCACTGCAGCAGCTTATAGGAAAATTACTATGAAAACTAACTCTATTCCAGCCAAAA